CCAATATTTGTTAAATGATTTGATACAATGTTGATGAAATTCTACCATTCCTCGAGAAGATAATTTTTTTAATAGTATTTGCTATTAAAATCAATTGAAGAAAGCAATCAGCAAGGTTTGCATTAGCACTTTCAAGTAAGGTAATTGCAGTTTTAATCGGCTTTAGAACTTTGGTTAATTTATCAACGTTTGAGAAAAATTCTGAGCTTNAGAAAAATTCCGAGCTTCGAATATTTCGTCTAACACTTTTATTTGTGATTTCATTAGGATTATTCTTCAAAACCTATAAATATTTTACAAAATATTATTAATAATCAGTAATATTACAATAACAAAATAAGAATTTATAGATATTGAAATAAACTCACATGTTCTAGTGCCATTCGTAAACGAGATACGGAACTTACAGCTTCATACATGGAAGTCCATCTTGTTTCACAGTATGTTTTAAGCCCTCCTCCTACGATTTGTAATGTAGTAGTAGCATCGGTCAACAATTTTCCTACTATATGAGAACGTTTAAAGAATGATGTAATCTGATTACAGCCACTGATCGTTATTTTAGCCAAATCATGTTCTAAAATTAAAAAAAAAGGTTAAAAAGATGAATTTTTAACAATAATTCATAATTATTTTATAGAATTTGAAACATACCCATAATCTGTTTGGTTACTAAATTGACGAAATGAGCAATGCACTGAAGATCAATAATGTTTGGAAATTGGTTCGTAACAATTTCCCTTGCTTTAACGCAATTCGCTGCATTATCAGTAACTAATGCAGAAACTTTTTCAGGGCCAATTTTTTTGATAATATCCGTAATTTGGCTTGCAAGAAAATCTCCTGTATGATGATCGCCTGAGTAGTCATTAAGAGCATAAAGGTATTGTTCTCGATCAGGAGTTAGGATTACATAGTTATAAACAGAAACACCATTCGGATTTGTCCAGCCATCAAGTGCTTAAAGAGTTAAACAATTAGAATTTAAAATTTTTAAATTTTTAAAAATTCATTTGATAACAAAACTTACCAAGTGTTAAATTCTCAGAATTTTTAATGATCTCCTTAATCTTGTCATTAATTCTTGCTGTTTCTTGATTTAAAAGTTTACCACTCAGCAATTCGCTTGTTGGAGGCTCATATCCTGGTCTCATTTCGTGGAGAAATTCAATAAAAAATGGATTCTCAATAATTGAGAACGGAATACCACAACATATAAATGCGCGCACAAGAGCACGAGTAATAGAAGCCTTTTTTTGAGAATTTATGTTAGTTGACTCAAACCAATCAGTCAACTCCCGCTGGTCCACCTGAGTTTTTCTTTTTTTACTATTTTCTGGCGAAGAAAAGGTATCTTCCCTTCCAAAATCCTGCGCAGAAACTACACCTAAGTAGAACGAATGAACAAGTTCTGGAACTTCTCTACAGTTGTTTGCTAAGTGATCTTCTAGCTCATTTGGATGACCACGAGGCCAATATGTCCTACAATAATTACATTTGGCCGAAAAATGACCAGCAGACTTGAGCGGTTTCTTCTCATAATGTCTCCATACTTCACTTTGAGGACGACCACCTTTCTTCTTTTGTTGTTCAGTTGGAGTGTCCATTTTTTATAGAATATTGAACATTTATGAATATAGCAAAACAGCGAAAGTAATACATTGACGTGACTTTTGGCAATATATAAAGTCATTTGGTATCTCGTGCGGTCGTGCCTCGTAGGTTTTTTTCTATTTTAACAGTTATTGATTATCATTGATTTGATCATAATTAAAGTTTCACAGTCCGTATCAAAACTGTGCTACATGATAATCCAATATAATATTGATCAGATGATATCAGATGATCAATTTTTTTCAACTCTTCGTCTATTTTTAAACCTATCTAACTTGGAAGTTAGAATAATCTGACAATTTCGCAGTAGTAGTCGGTTACTAAACAACAGTTTAACTTTAGGACGTTCAAAGTACGCTGAGGGCAGAAATTGTGACTCGGAAAGGTTTTGTAGTTAGAGTAATTATAGATTTAGTTACGAGGACATTAAAGTACGCCGAGTGACTTGTAAAGATTATAGTTAGATTTGATGGATTAGTTGATTTCTGAGGGATGGTAAGTTTGGTAAGTTAGATATAGAATGCATCGTGTCAGTATATAGAAATCTATAAAAGGATTGGTACAATTTTATTCATATGGGATGAAAGATTATGGTATCGTGAGAGATGTCTTGTACTGAACGGGTAATTATTTTATGGTGTATAATATAATAATATTGTTATAAAGCTGTGTTTATTTGTTAATATTTTATCATATTGTATGTATAATATTTAATAAATTTTACTAAATTGTGTTTGAAAACATGTCGATTTATTTGTAAAATAAAAAAAAAAACTAAAAATATATTTTTCAGTTTAGTCATAATTTCGGTTTAGTCATGTAACGAAATATTTCAGAATTTCGTAATTTGAAATGCATTGACGAAACAATTTCGGTTTCGTCACATGACTAAATATTTCAGTTTCGCCCGGGATCACTAACTTTTTGGGATTATACCTACAGTGAAACAAAAATTACCTTTATAGATTTAATTAAAGGTATAATCTCTTGTGAGTTATCAGCATACATGTCCTTAATTTTTGAAAATCAAAATTTACAAAAAAAATTCTTAGTTTTATTAAGGAATTTTATTTTTGAAAAAAGTTGGAGCTTTTGGATTGATAGATGTTTGAAATAAAAAGAAAAAGAAAGGAGATTAAAAATTAATCTTAAGAAAGTTAAAGAAAATCTTAATGAAGATAGATATATTGATCCTAATAGGAAACTTAATCAACTTAACCTTTTCAGTGGTTTAGAAAGTTTACGATCGAATTTATATTTTGGAACGAATATGCAGGGTTTTATAGTTTTAGTTAACTATGCTCTGCTCTTTTTTATTTTTTAGAAAGGTATGTAGTTGACTGGTGGTTAGTAGTTATAAGGAGATGAAATAAAAAATTAATTTTATCCTAGGAATCAGGTTTTTAAAGTAAGGTTGATAGAACGTCTTAAGTGTATGTTACTATAATAGGTCTCAAATTCAGGTTAAAACTTATAAAGAAACTAGTTGGTTAGTATTCGTTAGTTTAGAATCTGGTACATGCAACTATTATTATAAACTTTTGTATATTTGTATGGTTCGTTACAATTTATCACTAATAAAAAATAAAAAATAAAAAATAAATCAGTCCATATATATGCTAGTTTTTGATTAGTGTTAACTGTTAGAATAAAATATTGGCAATAAATTATTTTTTTGTAATAATATTTAATTAAATATAGTGCTCTCTATAAGCCATTTAAACTAAATAAGCTTTATCCAAAAAGGCAAACTTTTACAAGTTTTTATCAAATTCTCATTATTAGTTAAGATTATGATTAATTAATTAATCAATAAAGTTTGATAAGATTTGCATTTTTAAATAAGGCTTAACTGGCTTAATATATAGAAATAATTTATAGAGAGTATTAAATTTAGATAGTTTACTAATTTTAATGTAACTAAAATACATGAAATACCTTTAAAAAAAAGATTAAAAAATATTATAGAATTATCAAAAAAGAAAGTTCTAATGCAAAAAAACTTAAATAAATTTAATAATCAAATAAGAAGTTAATATAAATACTCATTATGTGGAAAACCTGATTATTATTACCTGCCTATAATATCTGCTAAAATTAGTAAATATTTTATTAGATATAAAATTTTTACTTTCAATTAGTACTTTCCTTAATTCTAGTAACTTTAATTTAATTCTATTAAAACTATTTATTATATATTCCTTTTATATAATATCCAATATCTTATAAAGTACTTGCAGATATTATATAATTTTTAAATCAAATATTTTGCATAATATTTAAGATATTATATGCAGTGTAATACAGTATAAAAAAAAATGTTCAAATATTTAAGAAAATGATTAATATAAAGATATATTATACTTTTGCAATTTGTTTTTACTATTAAAATACCATAAGAATGCAATTTTTTTATTTGATTTTTACTGTATTGATGGTTAATCTAATTGATTTGTAAATATAATTTTTTATAATCAATATTAAAGATTACTTATGTGCATATAATATCAAACTTTAATTTAAAAAATCAAATAATAAAGAAGTGAATATTGAAGAATAGAAGAACAGGTGATTGGAATGAATAGTAGAATAATTTTAAGTTTTTACACATTTATTTTAATGTAATTCACAGTTTTTATAAATAATTACACATTTTAATGTAATTCAACCATGTTTTTATCTAATAAACCAGTTTACTTTATTAATTACTTTATCTTTTTTTTTTATATATTAATTACTTTATCAATTATTGTTTATATATTTATTATATGAATAATTTATGTATTTTTTATTAAACATGAAAAAAAAACTTTTTTTTGAAATGTAAATTTGATGTTGCATAATTTGGTAATTTTTACCTGAAACAAACATTAAAATACTCTTATTATATTATACTTTTTTATTTTTTAAAAAAATTTTGGCTTTAATAAATATGAAAAAAAAATTATAATAATTATTATAATTTGTATTTTTAATATTGCTTATATATATAAAAAAATCTTAAAATTTTATATAATTTATTATAATTTATTTACTGATAAATTTTACTGGTATATATATAAATATATAATACTATAAAAAGTTAAAAAGTTATTACATTTTTACTAAATGTTCTGAAAGGCATAATTTTTTGGTAAAAAAATCATACTGATAATTATAACTACTAGCTATAATTAGTTATAATTAGAAAAATTCTATGCACAAATAGCAAATTTTTTTCTTTTTTTTAAATAAATATATATATATATATATATGTATGTAATGTATGCATAGTTTTTAGAGTAATAAATAGATAAAAAATGTTTTTAGTATGAAATTTCATATGTTCTGATATGAACATATAAAGTACCTAAATATGAAAAGATATTTATAAATGCAACTATCTAGATAAAAAAAAAAATAATTGAATTGAAAATATATTGTATGTTAATAAAAAATAATGATCAATAAAAATTATGGTTAACAAAATCAAATATGAATCATAACTAAAATACAAATACATCATATCCAAAATAATAAATAAGGAAAGCTTCCTAAAATTTGACTGAAAAGTTAATACTTAGTATTTTGTACAAGTCATGTAATAATATACAGTAACAATAGAATTAACATTACTTCTCTATTCTTTGTAGGGATTTAGCTTTAACTATTATTTATAACTTGATCTACTATTGCTTTCATTTTCGGAGGTTCTCTTAACCTATCTGTACCACCTTTGGAGTATTCCATTTCACTTAATACCCTTAACCAGGCTGAACCACCTTCATTTCGCAATTCTTCTATCTTGCGTCTATAATCTTCCCCTGGTGACAAAACCATCTCATCAACGGAAGGAGATAAAGGTGTGGATGGTCTAAGTTTTGGTGAAAATTCTGATTCATTTGCGTCCGGCTTCTTTTTGCGAAGGCGTGAATTTGCGTCATTTTCAGCAGCGACTGCTTTTTCAACTTCAACAAGACGATGTTTGATCGGGATAGGTTCATTTTTGGCTGATTTTTTGTCTTTCTTCTTCTTTTTGTCTTTACTAGATTTTGATTTAACACTTGCTACGTCGGATCCAATATCTGAGTCACTGTTTCCTCCGTCCAAATTAACAACTCTTTTGTGAAATTTGCGACTCTTTTTTGTTTTTAATATTGGAACTATTGTTGTTTGGTCGTTTGATGATATTACAGGGTTAGGTAAGAGAGAATCACTACTTAAGATAGCTACAGGAATTTTTTGATTTGAAGGTGAAGCTTTTGGAGACCCAATTTGGCGACGTTCACTAAAACTAGGACCCGAACCATCCAAGATAATATCCTTATTATTTTCACGATAAACAGAAAATATGCTCACTCGATAATTAGGCTAAAATTACATATGTTAAAATATGAAAACATATAATCGGTTAGCACATTTTCATTTGCTACCATATTAATTTGTTAATAGACTCCTTATAACAAACCTGAAGTTTCACAAAAGGATTTCCTTCAACGTAAATCTGTCTTATTTCTTGAAGCTCTGTCATACGGCCAATTTCAGCCCAATCCGTTAATCTATTTTCCCTAATATCTATATATTCTAACGACCATAATCGTTCAAGACCACACAAATTCTCAATACGGTTATTCCTTAAATCCAATCTGGTAATATTACCAAGTGTTGTATAGATTCCTGTTACAGATTCGATCATATTATTACTAAGATTTAAATTTTGTAAGTTATAAAGTTGAGATAAACCGGAAGGAATGGCAAGAAGTAAATTTTGTGATAAATCTAAATTATTGACTTTATTAATGTACGCTAATGGTTCATTAGCAACAAAAGTAAGTGAATTATCGGAAAGATCAACTTGTTTAAGATTTGACCAAATTCTATGTGGTAAAATACTATCCGGTAAATAACCACCAGATTTTCGTTGTTCAACCAAATCTTGAGGTTCTTCAGTAACTTGATCGTTGGTTACATTGTCTTTTGATTTTCGTTTTTTCATACTATCAACCACTACGTCAACAAATAATTCATAAATATCATCGATTGAACCCTGCTGTAAAGATAAATATTCTAATTTCTCTTGTAAAATATCCCATCCATCAAACATCTTTGGTGATAACCCATGAATTTCCAAATGTGTCAAATGCTTAAGAAAGGTCAATGATAACATTGCACCCATTGGCCAATTTTCGAAACCGTCTATTCTTTTTTGAGTAAGAATTGCAAGCCTTAGACCAGTAAGCTTTGTGAATGAACGATAAATGTATTGTATCTCCATATTTATTGGAACAGTCTCATTTTTTAAAGCGGCAGAATACCATCCTTGCCAACCCGAAAATAATGAAAGGGAGGACATTGCGGAAGACATAGAACTAATAGAATTCGCGGATGTAATTGATGAAGTTTCAAGATCTTTAATATCAATATCAAGAATATCACCATCACCTTGCTTGAAATCAGCAATAGCTTCGAAAACTCCAATATCAAGCCCTAAATCACTAAACTTCGCCAATAAATAATACAAATGATGAGGATCAAGAGTTACCAGAATTTTATTTGGATTAATTACTGAACTCGGAGGTGAAGTCGGGGTTGTAGATGCTGTTGAAATTGTTGGCTTCAGACTTGTTAGTGCAGTAGAAAAAGACCACAAGTTCGACATTGAAAAACTATTTCCTCCGCTATCAGACCTTCTATGACCAGATAAATGACCTACCGAGGTAGGTGGAGGTGAACTAGTTGCCGTTAACCTCCTTTCATTGGAACGAATATATTGAGCCAATGTACGAATATATTGTTCTCCGGTTATATTCATTTTAACGATAAAGTCAAAACCGATTAATTTTGTGGATTTAGCTTATCTTAAAATATTTTAATAAAAACGAATTAACGAAAATTAAAGAATAAAAGAGTCTAAGAGTTTGAATAAATTACAAATATACTTTTTTTTATCCCGAAGCCATGGTATGAGCATTACTCCTGGCAGTTGCCACATGACCTAATTTGGTTGTATCAAAACAGTTTAATCATCCACATGCATATATATAAACCATTGTTTTCCAGTTTTTTCTATTTCACGGTTTGTCTTTTACTCTTTTTTCAGTTATAATAAAATGAACCTTTTCAGTACAAAAACAAAAACCATAAAAACATATGGGAAAAAAAATGTCGAACGCGTCGTTAATATTAACACTTGGAATTATGAAGTGGATGAAAAATTAGAGGAGACCGTTAACTTATCGGAAAGCAACCCAATTCATGATACAGCAAAGAAAAATTCTTTGAAGAGAAGCACAACGCCCAAACAAACAACTAAAGATGTTACTAGTAAAAACGCAGAAAAGAAACCAACCAAGCGTAAGACATTTACGAAAGGATTCACTAAGTCAAAACATTACGTTTCTCCACTTCAACCTTCACAAAAATCAACACACACCAAAGAAACTTCTTGTAATATGGAAAATGTTTCACCGAAACTGTCAATATCCAGTAAGACCATAGTCCGAGAAAAAACGCCATCTCCAATTAAGTCACATCGAATGCCGCTTACACCGAAGAAGCCTAAAAACAAATATCATTCACAAACCGAAGATCACGATCATCTGCCTTCAAGTCCCTTTAAGATTTTATATAATAAAAAAGATGAAAAAGAGAATGTCTTCGATGACCGAAATGAAAGAATGACATCTTTTATCGATATCAAGCATTTAGAGATTGATAAATTGATTAAAGGACGTGAATATATCACGGTTGAATTGACAGAATTATTGAAAATTTGTGATCAAAAACAATTATGGACCTTTGAAGAATTCCTTGGGATAGAGTGGGTGGAATCTCCTTTAACTTAGATATTTATTTTTTTGTATTTTCAAGGTATTCATGCTTGAAGTCTCGCATTAATGTTTAAGTTGCCTTAACAATGCTATAAAAATTGGAGAGGCAAGCTTCTCCGAGGTATATTCGGCGTACGCGCCTGAATTTACTACCACAAGAGTGAAATGTGTTTTCAAAGTTGTTCCTTTTGGAAGAGGAAAAGAAGTACTGGTAAACGGCGAGGAACAGGGTAGTATAAGAGATATAACTCAAGAGATCAAAACGACGTTAGAGCTGGGCGGACGAACTGGTCTTGATCCGGAATTGCGAGTTGGTTTCTTGAAATTGTATGGGTAAGTTATTTACTGCTTTACATATGTAAACATGGATAGGTAATGCTAAAACTCTACATGATCGCCAAAATCTAAACTAATCACTAATTATATATCTGTCAAGTGTTGGTGTTTGTTGTGGAAATTATCCAAAGGTTTTATTAAAAGAGTGGGATCGATGGGATAAAGAATATAAGTCAGAGAATGATCGTCCAGGTGTTTATGGATTTCTTTTTTTTATACGCATTACATTATTTGAAGCTAATTAAATGTATCTTGTAAAGATTATTTTGATGACAAACAGCTTTATGCCGTGTTAATTGTTGAATACGGGGGTGTGGATCTTGAACATGTTAAATTAAAAAACTGGATGCAAGCTTGGAGTGTTCTTACACAAGTCGGATGGAGTACAGCACAAGCCGAACAGGTTGACATCCATTAATAATTTTTGCTTTTCATAAAATTATTAACTTACATATTATTCTCTTTTAGTCGTTAAAATTCGAAGTAAGATATTTCTTCTTTACAATTATTAAATACGATGATTATCTAGAAAAATTTCTTTTATTATTAAGCATCGTGATTTACATTGGGGAAACATAACGATAAAACCAACCAAAAGCAAGTCTGTATCATATAACTTGCTTTTAGCTAACATAAATGTTGAAGTCGAAACTTTTGGAGTGCGAGCTTGTATTATAGATTATACGTTATCTCGGATGGAACGTGGTTTGTTAACAACAGAGTACTTGTCTATTTATATTATCGTATTTGGTCCTCTTTTCACTGTTAATATTATTTTAGGAGACGAAGTTATTTACGTAGATATATTAGATGAAGGATATTTTACCGGAAAAGGTAAGTCGTTAATATGCTCTGATTATTTAGCAAATTAAATTATTCACACAATTTCAGGCGATTATCAATTTGATATATACCGTATGATGCGAGAGGAGTCTAAGGGCGATTGGAAGTCTTTTTGGCCAAAGACTAACGTGTTTGTAAGTATTTTCCGTCTTATTTTTTATGTATTATGTCTTAATAACTCATACTATATTTAATACATAGTGGCTTCATTATATCGCGGATAAATTATTGACTGCGAAAAAATTAAGCCGACCAAAAAAAGATAGCGATCAATATGATTATTACAATGCAATTGTGGGGTTTAAGAAGAGGGCATTAGCAAAAAATGGTGGTTATAAAAGCGCGATGGAGGCGATGAATCAAGACGAAGCATGGCGAATATGAAAATGTTATGGTATTTTTGATAATTAATTTGAATATATTTTTTTATTCAAAATAAAAGTAAATAGAGGAGACAGGTCTGAGTGACTAGTTCCGTTATTTATCATAAATCCTTATGTTACTTCCGTATTTTTGTCTTAACCAAGTCTCGAGAATATTCAAATTGTAAATATTTGCTTTATAAAAGACATCGATAACATCGCCTAACGAAAGAGTGATTAATAATGTAGAAATAATATTAAAGTTAAAGGAGTTAAAAGATGAATGGTTTTTCTTACCAACGACGGGTATAATTCCGATAATGCAGTCAATTAAAACATGCATAAACATTTTTAATAAAAGAGGTAACGGCACATCGAAGAAACTTATCAAATAAATTTGATATAGTCCTAAAATTAATCCGACAAAATCACCTATAGAACAGTATCAAATTAAATAAATTAAATCTTGCTAATTGAAGGAAATAAGATAATAATTTGTGAACTATACCAATCGTCGGTATAATAAAACCTATTATTGACTCCAAACCAAATGGCAAGTTAATTCCATTTAAAGGGAGTGAATCCAATCTAAAAAGGATCACAATACTTTAATATACAAATTTGATATATTGTATTAATTAAATACCATAAATACAGTAAAGCTGTTTTTCTTATACGATCATATAACGCTTGAGCTTCTCTCGCATTCTGAGGAGAACTTCTTGGTGGAAAAGGAAAATTACTGTCGTTCATATTAAATAAATATTATATGTAATAGAAATAAAAATAGCGATGTGATAAAAATAAAAACTTAAAATAGATATTCAAAACGGATCCACAATGCATCCCTTAATTCGTATTGCACAAAAAATTATCTATATGTAAAAAATAAAAGCCGTAAGATGTAACTATTTAAAGACTCTTACATAGAAGTAAGATATACAGTATATATAACTTGAAAAATTCTTTTAACCCTTACTTTCTTTCGACAATATGCATTTCCTTTCTATCCTTCACCAATCTTTAACAATAACCGCTCTGGGAGCGACATTGTATTTATATTATTATACGGCTTTTTGCGGATGGAAATGGAAAGGCAAGTGTAAAAAACCAAGAAAACTTTTATTAAGGTTAATAAACTAACATTTCGTTTACCTTATAGACGCTGAAACAAGAGTATTGTTCTTAGCCGACCCACAAATAGAAGGAGATGCGAAAATATTTAGACAAGGAAAAAGAGGTGAGTATGAAAGAAACGGCATTTCTTTAGACAAGATGACTAATTCCCCTGAATGAATGGGTTATTTAGGCGAAATTGATGTCTGGGCCAATGACATCTATCTTCGACATATATACACTTCATTCGTATCACCTTATTCTTTATTTACCCGTAAACCTACACATACCATAGTTCTTGGCGATTTATTCTCGAGTCAATGGATAGGACAAAGAGAATTTAACGAACGTGTAAAAAGATATAAATGGATTTTTGGTGATACAAGAAAGGTTAGTTTAATTTCAATTTCTTTTAAAGGTCGAATAAATTTTTTTGGATGTATATAAACTGATTTTTTTCTAAATTATTCTTTAGGAATATAATCACAAATTTATTAATCTAACGGGAAACCATGACATAGGTTATAATTGGGATATTAATCAATATAGAGTAAATAGGTGGAAGAATGAATTTGGGCAAATGAATTTTTTGGATTGGATTCCTTCAGACAAGAAAAAAGTACATAGGATGTCTGTAATAAACTCCATGAATGTGGATGGACCTGCATTAGATGAAATATCACGTTCTGAGACATGGTCATTATTAGATAATTTAGCAGAAGAGAGAGAGAAAGATAATTACCAAACACCATTAATTTTCCTTACACATATACCAATATATAAAGAGGAGGGAATTTGTGTAGATGGACCAATGACAATTTATGATGATACTGGCAATTTTATAAGAGAACAAAATCATCTTTTACAAAATTCATCAGAATTTATTCTTACTAGACTAAGACCTAGATTTATTTTTGCAGGACATGATCATGAAGGTTGTGATGTTACTCACGTAGTAAGAATGAAAGAAAATAATGAATATTTAATAAATCATTATAGAACTCAAGATTTTGAAAATGAAAAAAATCAAATAATTTTAAAGAATGATTATACTGAAAATGGTAAGTTAAAAGAAAACATTTGGATTGTAAGAGAAGTTACTGTAAGATCTGTTATGGGAGCGTATAGTGGCAATGCTGGTTTATTTGAAATCAACAGACAGATAAATAAAGATGGTTCAGAAGGTATGAAAAGAATTTAAAATTATTACCTCTTTTTCTATTTGCGAGTTAACTTGTTATTTATATTGATTTTTATTTGAAACAGAATTCGAATACAATTATTCATCATGTCCTTTTGTGATAAATCATATACCATGGGTTGTATTTATAACGGACATTATAGTTATATTAGGATGGATAATTCGATATACATTAGCAGATCTTAATATAACATTTCCAAATCATCTTAAAAAACTTTTATTATCTCGAGAGAAACAGAAAAAGAAAATTGTTAGAAGAAATAGTTGTAATAATATTTTGAATAATATAAAATAATTTAAATTAATTTTTTTTTCTTATATAAATTAATTTTTGTTTCTTATCCTTATAATAATGTAATATTTGTAATCAATTTTTTTTTGATTATTGTGTAGATTGTGTTGAGTGATTTTGGTTACTATACGGGAAGCAATCAAGAACCAGAAATCTTTAATATATATATATACATATCATTTGTAAAATAAGTTTAAAATAGATTATAAACATATTCATTAGAAATTAATCTTTTTCTTTTAATTTTTATGGTTTAAAACAAAATAAATCATTATTGTTTACATTTTAGATAATAAATGATATACAAAATACAATTAATCCAAATACAAATAAATATTTAATTAGTTTTCTTAATATCAGATGAAGCAGACGTACTACCGTTAGCAGCGGCAGCTTTTAACTCATCAGCTTGCGTTTGTCTCTTTTGTCTATAAGCTTTATATTTTAAATCAGTACCCATTAAATAATCCCACCATCTAAATGATGTAGAGAAACAATTAACGAAAGCCATATGATGATAATCGTGGTGTTCAGCTCCCGCCCAAAATGGTAAAAAGTGCCTTAAGGACCAAGGAAAGTCATAACCAGAATGTGCATCAATAGCTTGAAATAATCTTAAGCTAATCCAAATAAATACTGTTATAAGATGTAAATTATGCGTAATTGATACCCATAATAATGGTCCTCCTATTGTGCCTGTACCTAAAATAAGTACTTCGAGTGGATGTGCATATTCTGCTGCCTAAAGCATGGCGAATTGAGGAAATATTAGGTAAAATTTTTATTTTTATTTTCTAAGGTTAACACTTACCAAACCAAATGGAGCAGAATATTCGTGATGTTGTTTATGAATATATTTGTAAAAAGGACCATAATGTAACAGTCTATGGAACCAATAATGAAAAGTATCTTCCATTACAAAAAATAATGCTACTTGATAACATATAGTTTGCCAATGTGGAAATGGTACTGTTGTAATGTCCATACCAAAGAATGTTGCTATAGGATGAAATCCAAAAATTAATGGTAATTCCATTAAAAAATGACTAGTTAACACTGACTTTAAACATATCCATTGTTCTTTTGCCGTATTAACTTTGGCCTACAAAAATGTGAGCTTTTTTTAATTTTTTAAAACAAAGGGAGAAAGAAAGAAAACGGCAAATATCTTTACTTACTGGTTGCAATTTATACTTGGCGAAACTTGGTATATAGTCTGCGATAATAAACGGAACACAACGACCAAAATAAACAATTTCATGCAAAACAAAAGCGATTATTGCTGTCGCTATCGCTTCCTTTTCAAATAAATTAAAATAATCCGTCCATGCTTTTTCTATAAAATTAAGTTCTTCATAACTCGTACTAAACGAGTTTTCCAACGTGTTGTTATTCATATTCTGAAGAAAAAAAAAACCTTTTTTTTTTTTCTCTATAAGACGTTTCAAAAAGAAAAAACTGTCGAAACCTTAAACTTTATATAGGAAATTTTGATATGATCGAGATCACAATTTAAATCTGTACGTTGGTATGATAATGGACTTACTTCTATGTGTCACAACTCACAAGATAATTGCATATAAATATTTTTAAAATTTATACCTAAGGGGCGATACAAAATGTAGAGCTTTCCTTGAACGGATAATACCCTAGGATTTATCTGGATTATCCTAATGGATAATCCTATACGGATAATCCTCTAGATTTAGAATAATCACGATATTATTTTTTGTATTTCAATATGTACAAAAATAAAGTTTATATTAAATTTACTACTCTATTTTAAATTTTTTAATAATGATTTCGTCATATTTTATCCTAGGGCCTAGGCTAATCCGGACTACGTCTATCAAAATGTCTCGATTAGCATTTAATTTTTTATGTGTTATATATTGTATGATTTGTATCTCGCTGTGACGTTTGCCGTAAACGTAACTATCCTTGGTGTAAAAAATGTCTATAACCCTAGTCTCGATAGTTTACAAATGTACGAATTGGTTGCTTATTTCATTTTTAAACTTTATGATAAAGCCACTAAACATTTTAATTATAGGGCAGACTGGGCAGTTCAATTCGTTAAAGCTATCAAGAGATTTGAAGTTTCATAACAAGAGCGAATTGCCAATACAAAGTACAAGTTAGGATTCGGAGTATGTAGGCTAGTAAACTTTGCCTGTGACAGTGAATCCGTCGGATGGTTATTTATTTTCTGATTTAATGTTATTCACTACGAAAATAAATAGGTTTATAAGAATCAATGCAATTGAGAGCAAGGGTACGGAGATGAAAACACGTATACGTCGTATCCCAGATTTCGATAAGTTGAACGTGTAAAACAATTAGTGTATTGACCTAACAATTGAGCCTTACTTGACCGGAACAAGAATGATGATTTGAGACAAGGGTGCTTCGTCTTTTTAATTATGATGAAATGCCTTCATGCTGGCAAAATATCTTAGTATAAATGCTACACAATTTTTGGCAGTGGAAATTTAACACGCTTGTAATTATTCCATTGTATATATTGTATATATAAATCAATACGTTATAATAAAAAGGACGTGCGGAGCACCACATTTTTTAAAAGATTACGTGATCCAGAATGCCGAAGCTATTCCTAATCAATATGATCAGATGGAACGGTATATAGAAAAAAAAATTTTATTATATAGAAATATATTTATTAGTTTTTTTTTTTGGTTGGTCTATTCCGAAAGTTGGAACACAATCTGATGATGATCAGCATTAATCATGTTTCAGGCACGTCTGGATTCAAGATAAAAGGTGATACTGTGGAGGTCGTAGAACATAAAAGTATATGTTGTAGGATACTCATTGCGATTTTACCCGATGAGGGATTGTATGAACTCACTATTTTTATATATAGTAATTTGACAATATTCGTAGATCATAAAGAACAGCCTTTTAATAATCTATCATTCGGTTAAAATTAAATGTAATTTTATTTAGTCAAATCTTCCCGAAGTTGAAAATAAATCAGTCTATTGATATGATACTATTAAATGACGAAAAAATTTACTCGATGACGTGAAGATCTTTCTTTTTTATAAACTACGAAACAAGCATGAAAAATGAAACAAAATTTCGAAAAAAAAAATTTACAAAAAAGAGATACATGAATTATGAGTTCGTGGTAAATTGATTTTTCGTGATACAGTATATACAAATTACTTTTTAGAAAGGGTGTTGGCAACTGCCGAGAAGCTGGTAAGAATTTTTTTCTGTAAAATAAATGAATTGTTAGCAATGTAATCAGCGAACCATACTTTTGAATAAACAAAAATTCCCAATCTTACTGAAGAATATTTCTTCTAAAAATTGATTACTGATTTAGAGAAACATTTGTATTGGTCAAACTTGCAGCACTTAATGAAGTTTTGGAGGAAGCGTAACGATATTTCGATTCAAGTTTTTTAAATACATTATAAGCAGATACTACAGCCAGAAACGAAACATCAAATAATATGAGAAGAAAAGCTGGTGCTATGAGTATAAAAGCACAAATATAAGCTATGGTCGTTAAAAATTCTAACATTGCGTTTCTGAAGGGAAAAAAGTAAAAGATAAAAAATGAAATGAAACTGAGATCAATTTATAAATAAATTTTTATTATTAAATTTTTTTTATTGTTTAAAATTTTTTTTACTGTAATGATATATGGAAAAGGGTCTGTGAAAAAAGGCATTATTTTACTACTTATTAGGTAAGGTTTGAATTGATACCAATGTGAAAAATTTCTTTTCTTTACCAAAAAGTTTAATTATTAATCAATATAAAAAAAAAATCGTGAGAAGATTTGGATGGCTTCGGCTATTTTCGGAAAATTTGATAAGTCAATAAGTGGCACAAAAAATTTGGCTACGTCATTCCAATAAACGTTCATGCATCTGTATGTTTATTTCTTTCTCTCCTTTAAGTTTTGTGTGTGGGGAAATTTCGTGAGAAAAAAACCTCACGAGAGAAACTTTTAAATTAATATATATGTGATTTGTGTGAATATTTGTGCATAAGGTTATGTAAAGTTAGTTATTTCACTTACAATGAAGTTAACAATTTTGGATACCATCTGATGTTTCGTCCAAAATCCTAATCATAATAAAAATTGGTGAAATTCTCCCGTTTTTAGAAAAATTTAATTTGTAATCTAGATAAAAACTGGTAAGCGAATCTATTATTTAATAATAACTATACCGAGTTCCGCGAGGAAATAAATAACAATGGAACAGATCGGATCACTCTTTATGTAATAATGAAATTCATTAGATACAATTATATTGTGTTCAATTCGCTGCAAAATAGTCTTTTAGGTTTATTTTACAATAAAGAAAAATTTGAAATCAAAATAAACATGATTAAGGTATTTTTAATTTGAAAGACATCATTTATGATCATTTTGCAAATTTTGCAAATATCGTACAAACTATGCTGACTTGACCTTGTTTGTACCACGAAGCAAACCACTTCTTCTGGCCGCAATTAAACCGACCTAAGATGATATTTTATAAATGATTACAAAAAAAAAAATTCCAAGTAAAATTTAAAAAGAAAAATAAATAAAGAAAACATACTTTTTGACCAGGTGCACTTTCTCTGGAGACTGTAGATGCATGACCAATGTGTTGATGGTTACCACCACCATGAGGATGGTCCACGGGATTCATAGCAACACCACGAGTCTTGGGCCAGCAATTCCTCTTTACACGATATTTGTGATATGCACGTCCAGCCTTAAGTAAAGGTTTATCAATTCGACCTCCGCCAGCTACAATACCTACTGTGGCGCGAGCACTAGAGTTGATAACCTTTTTAGCACCTGATGGAAGTTTAATACGAGTCTTGCCTTCATCGTGATTATGACCAATAATAGTGGCATAGTTGCCAGAAGCACGAGCTATTGCACCACGGTCACCAATCTTTTCTTCAACGTTACAAATGATTGTACCTTCAGGCATTGCACCAACAGGAAGCACATTTCCAACAGTTAAAGTGGCTTTTCTTCCGCAATAAATGAATTGGCCAGTGTGCAATCCTTCTGTAGCAATAAATGTCTGGAAACGGAGTTTATATCTACAAAATTATATTAATTTCAGATTATTATTAATTAAATTAAAATTAACTAATTGAATTGAATTGATATAATATCTGATATTGAATTCCGACATACCGATAAGGATCACGAAATTGAACTTTAGCGAGAGGGGCACCACGGCCAGGGTCGTGGATAATTTCTTTAACAATACCTCTTATATATCCATGACGTTCTGCATAATCTAGAGGTCTTAATTTGGCAGCTCCCTTGCGAAGTCTAGTGTGGGATTTGAAAATTCCACCGGGACCTTTTCTTTGAGAACGAATAACACGACCCATCCTTAAGTTTAATTATCTAAATTGTAATTACCATAATTTTCTTAATAATTGAACATTTTTATTCAAATGTTTAATAAAATTTCACAGAATGGCTAAGTCTGTCAAGACAACATCCATCCAAACGTTTCATATCGAAAAATTTGATTTTATTTATAATATATACTTGGAAAGTATATGACAAAAGATAAAAAGAAAATAATCTTTGTAAAAAACTCTCACCGGTAAAATTCACCCCAAATAGATAAAAAAAATCTTTGGGATATGGAAGAGGAGGTTTACTAATTGGTGGATCAAATTTTTTTTTTGTACTATTGAAGATTCATTCACGTGATTACGTTAGATTTATATGCGCAGTAAAATTATAAATAAGGTAAACATGTAGAAAATAACAAACATCATTTTTTTGATAGAATACTGATGACATATATACTTTACTAAAAATGGCTATCTTTTTTTATATGATTTTGACATGACTCTTATAAAAGAAAACTTTAAATTTATCTATCTAGTAAATAGAGAATTATAACGAAACTTGCATCAACGTGAACTAAACAAAAGATTACAAATTAAATCAACGTTAATATATAAATCAAACTTGCAATTAAATGTAATTTCTTTTTTTCTCTCAGATTATTTTCGTCTTCAATGATTATCAGAAGTCTAACATATTTCTAAAAAAATAACATCATTGGAATTAAATATAATAAAAAGAAGTGTATAAAATACTTACACAAGAGATTGTTGTAATAAGTTAATTCATGATGATTCTTTTATCCATTTGCCTATATCATTTACCACGCGTTGCATTTCACTAGTTGAGATTGAAGTGCCGCCTATGTTGCTACCACTTAATTGCTCACTGACGCGTACATCATTTAATGCATTATCAATGTCTTTTTCGTCTCCATATTTACGACCTATTTAATGATGATAGTAAGTTAATTCACATAAAATCGATAGCAACAAACAAATTCATATATAAAGGAATCAAGAAGAAAATACCTTCAAACGAGTCTTCTAATGCATTAATTAGATTATGATATTTAATATTTGAAGGCGTTAGAGTAATAGCCGTGATAATTCCATTCTTCGACTCGAATAACGCTTTCTGTACACATTGTAAAGATTATATTTAAAATGTAATTTTTCAATAAAGCAGTATCAATTATATAGAATTTACCACATGACTCCACTCAAATTCCTTTTCAAATTTGTGAGTAAAATCTGGCGTTTGTCCATAAACCCATTCCCAAGTCTATAAAGAAAGGAATTTAGAATTACAAAATAAAATTTGAAAATTTTCAAATATGGAATGATAAACGCATGTAAAATGCCTTGAATTCTTCACGATATTCGGCAACTTTTGGAATGTTAGAAATAAATTCTTCATCGACAGTAGTTGCCTAAAAAATGATTACATAAACATAATAAGCTAAAGATTTTAGAATGTATATAGTCTAGTTACTTACGCTTTTGTTAGAACCATGATTCACGTAATCACGATAATATTCTGTAAAGTAGTCTTTTACTGCCTCACAGAAGGATTCGTGGCTCACGGTAGAAGAATAATTACAAAGATTTGTAACAGGTGATGGGAATGATTCAACACCCTTTGTGATAAGGTTTTGCTAAAAAGAAAAAAAAAATCTTTTTATCAATATTTGCAATATTAAATTAAGTTATATATAAATTAAAAATGTGTACCCTCTCAACGTTAAGATATCTTTTTATCCTGTCTAGATCTGTATCAATAAGCATAGTACCATGATGATATGCTCTTCTCATAACTAATTTAAATGCAGAACCAGAAACGTATTTTAATCAAAAGTTAAAGAAATTAATTATTTTAAGAATATTTAAATTATAACTAAGGTAAATTAAGGATATTTTAAGTCCATTAACTGCTATATCATGTCTCTCAGTTACGTATGCTGGTATATCAAGTCTTGTTGTTAGAGCCCTTACAACCAATTCAGCCGTATGTTTACGAGTAAAATCGATTCTAGGCATTATAAGTGTATAATTTGTATTTCCAATATCCTTAAATATATTGTTTATTTTAGCTAGAAATAATTAACATTCGTCTTTGAAAAATGTTGAATAATAGAATTACATGAAATACTGTGCCGCCGCCACTTTTTCTTCTTATAAGTGGAATATCGTGCTTTTGAAGTAATCTTACATTACATTCTTTCCAAGGGTTCTAAATTAAAATATTTTTTTTATTTTTTTTATTTTTTCAAGAAAAGAGAAAGATATGAAATTATTTAGGTCACTTATTAAGCCATTAGATTTAAATTAAATACATTCTAAGAATGAATAGATATATAAAAAAAAATACCTGATTTCTCCCGATAACAGCGCAAGAATTATTTCTCCACAAAAAAAGTATAATCTCTTGTGGATTTGTATCTTTAAATAGCCTTTTCTTATTTCCAAATAGAATAAAATAAAAATTTTAAATTTTTAAAATATGTTAATATATGCAAAATAAGATTCGAATTAAATATTACTAACTGTACCACTCTTCGAATGCAATATTCGTCCAAGGATCCATTGATTTTGATATAAAACATTTGAACTAATTTATTAATGTTTAACAAAAATAAATTAAATTAAAGAGATTAAAGAGCAAGATATAATGAGTAAGAATACACCTACAACAAGGTCACGACTTGATATTTCGTCACTGGAAAAAAATCGCGAGAACTGCTGTGACGTACGTGATTTTATTATAATGTTACGAACGAGTAGTGGTGGGAATAAAGGTCGCATTGTTTAAATGATCTATCCCTTAAATTACAAAAAACTTGTTTTTAATTCGTTTATTATAAAATTGTGTATCTCTTATGGGTAATGCTGTTAGAACAACGGCCCTCTTTTTGAAGACTCTGTTATTTTATTCTACAGCGACCAAAAAAAGAGATTTAATTTATTATCGGCCACATTTTGACTCTTGGAATGTTAAATAGAGATTCTTTCGAGCTTCGATAGGGCCTATACTTTTTAATATTTTCAAATAACAATCACTTCTTTATATTGCGTTGGCGATATAATAACTTACTAGTAATATCAACTATGACACCCGTTCATATTCAAAAGAATTATTTAAAATAATGGTTGAATTTATAGATACGGAATTTTTGTAAGAGATTATCGAAAAAATTTTCTGATCCGCAGTCATAATTAATAAAATATTTGGTTACACAATTTTTTTTATATATTTCAGCTTTAAATCAACCTCGACCCTACAAAAAAATGATCTTTAAAAATAAGAACAACCCTCTAGAAATTTATTTTTATTTTCGCAATCTCACCTTCCATACTCAATTTTTAACATATAAATTTTTAAGGGGTTTTCTCGTATTTAATATAAACTAATTGTTTAATATTAGAACAAGAAAATCTAAGTAAAAATAGCATGTTTTATAATTCAATATTTTTGAATCCTCGAAAATTCAAAGTAACACTTAAAGGAACAAGATATTTCGCAACGATAGCATTGTTTTACTTGCCACTTAGTAATTTTGCACGAACAAACGCATGTACAAGTGTCATTAAAACAACACGCCCAACAAAATGTATTATTGTTCAAGAATCAAAAGAAATAAAACTAAATAATTTTTTTTCCAATCGGAGACCGAAATATTCAATTGACTTTTCATGTAAATTTATAATACCTTTATCATTACATAATAAACATAATAAAATACGGAAAAGTAGTTCTCTAACAATTAGAGAAAAAAAAGACACTGTTACTTATTTAAAGAACAAGTTAGAACAAAATCAGTTAGATGTAATTGAATATAGAGATGAAAAAGAAATTAGTAATAATTTAATTCAATCACAACAATTGATTGAACCCAAAAAGAAGATTACGTCAACTATATTCAGAAAGATTATTCAAACTAATTGTTTGACAAAAATATGGGATACTTATAAATCATTGGTAGAAGATGGTAATTTAAAATATTTAAAATCTCGTCATATTAATAAATTAATGCGTTTAATCAAAGAATTTGATAAAGATTCCGTTAGTCGTTTAGAGAAACTCCAAAAAATTCACAATGACATAGAGAATGTAGGGATGAAAGAAACGCAAGGAGTTCAAATTTCTTTGATAGAAGCATATATAGATAACAATATGATAGATAAGGCGCGTGAAGTATTTAACAAAATTAATGAGTGGAAATATATTGGAAATGGTCCTCTCAAAAAACTCGATTTTTGTAATGCGTTCAATATTATGATTGCTGCTTATGGGATGCGAAGTAAGCCAGGAACAAATCTTGAAGAAGTAACAAAGTTATTTACATTAATGCATGAAAAAAATTTAACACCTAACGGAACAACTAAAACAATTCTCAAGGATATTTTTCGTTATCATTTAAATAATGATGCAATTTCTTGGATTCGAGAGTTAAGAGAGAAAAATTTTATTGATGTAGGTTTAGAGAAAGAAATTTTGTTAATATTATTGAAAAATAATAATCTAAAAGAAGCCCTTCGTTCTTTCGAGGATATGAAAGCAAGAAATTTGAAGCCAGATATTTATTCATATGTTCCGTTGATTCATCAACTTGCACAACATGAAAGGGTTGATGAAGCATTAAAGCTAATAGAAGAAGTTAAAGAACAAAAAGTTCATCTAAACACTGTAGCTTACAACGTTTTTATTAAAGTATATATTATGGCATCAAAATATGAGCAAACAGATCAAATTATTGGGGATATGTTAAAACAGAACACTGAACCTAATACGCGTACATTTAGTCAACTCTTCAATGCATACGCCAAAGCGGGTAATGCCGATCTGGCTCTTCAAATTATAAAGAAAATGTCAGATATGAACATTCAACCTAACGAATATATTTATTGTTTAATGATCGAAATGTTTTCAAATTTATCAGATATCCAATCAATGGAAAATGTATTTCGTCACATGATCGACAATGGAATAGAATCAAAAGGGGTCGCTTATTATTATCTATTATTGGGTTATACTCGGGTCCAAGATTTTAACAAGGCACTTCAAACTTGTCGACTTATGATAAAATCAGGGATTGAACCTAATGTACGCACATATAACGCATTATTATCACTTTTTGCTGAGAAAGGAGGCAAAAAAGGTGCTCGTTTGTTGTTTCGTGAAATGCAACGATTTGGATTATCTCCTGACGTATATACTTATACTTCACTTATCAACGCTTATGTGAAAGCTTCAGATATAAACAAAGCAGAAAAAATTTTCTCTGAAATGAAAAAAGCTGGAATTGAACCATCAATTACAACATATAATGTTTTAATGAGTTATTATGCAAAGAAAAAGGATATAAAAAAATTGAGACAAATATTTAATGAAATAGTAATAAGAAACATTCAACCTGATAATTTTACTTATTGCTGTCTTATGGATGGATTTGTTTCTAATAATGACTTCCGATCTGCCATCACTCTTCTGAATGATATGCAAAATAGAAATCTAAAACTTGATGCTCACGTATATACAGTTCTTATCAAAGCATATATGAAAATTGGAAATTTTTCAAAGGCAAAATCTCTTTATGAGACCATGATCAAGGATAAAGTAGATCCTACTTTCGTCACATATGCCGTTTTAATTGATGGCCATGCTAGAATTGGAGAATTGGATTTTTCTAGAAAACTTTTAACAGAGCTTATTTCTCATGGAACTATGAATCAAATAGCTTATAATAAAATATTAAGTCCTGATATATTTACTCCTTTGATGGACGCTTATGCAAAACAAGGACTGACTGAACCTGCACGGGCAATATTTGAAGAAATGACAACAGTAGGAGCTAAGCATAATTTATATGTATATACTATACTTATGGATGCATATTATCGTGGTCATAATTATGAAGCTGTGTGGCAGATGTGGAAATTGACGAAAAAATTTTTCGTGACTCCTTTATCAAAATCAAAAATATACGAACAATTATTAGATTTACAACAAAATCAACAAAATGAACATAAAGAAAATTCTTCTACCATGACATTAGCGGAGTCAAAATGGTCCTCTTCATTATTGATATCATTTAGTTTATTATATAGTTTGAGACCAATTACACAATCACCACCAAATCAAGCATTATCAATAATGATAAACGCATTAACAGCAGCAAAAAAATTTAAACTTATTGAACTAGAATGGAATAAGCTAAATAACGAAGATTTTGAATTTGATTGTCTAAATTATAATGACTATATACAAAGTTTAATAATATCAGAAAAAATTAGATTAGCCTGTAAATTATTGAATGAACATTTAGTTAAAGGTTGGGAAAAGGGTTTAGCTCTTTCAAATATTTATGAAGAAAAATTTTCTACACAAAGTGTAAAATATAGACAAGAATTATTGAAAAATTCTGCAAAATTTTATCCTCAGAAAAAAACTTTATTCTTATTGGCCAATTATATAAATCAAGGGAAAGATAATAAAAAGATTACTCAATATTTAAAAGAACTTAAAGAAGAATTTCCCGAAGTTTTTTATATTACTCGGGAATTTGCTAAATCCTGTAAATTAAAAAAGCTCAAATGTTATCAAGATAGAAGTCATAGCGGATAGTGAATAACAAACTTCTTTCAAATTTTTTATCACGAATATCTAATTCGAGATTCAACACAATTCAGATCAAAGAAAGTTGATGTTTCTTAAAATATAATGGATCAGAATTGTAGAAGGTCGACCGCGATAATCATCAGTACGTATCATTTTAAGGTCACGTTAAGTCGAATTTTGTTTCAAATAAATTATTTAATTGCAAAAATTTTATTTTAAAACAAAAAATTTCAAATAAATTGATCTCTGATAAGATATTAAAATACTTAAATATTTGATTTTGATTTTGTTTGTTTGTTTTTTTATTACAATATTTGCACTTATATTATTTATGTATAAAAAATTGCTAATTTATCATACTATATTTCACATAATTTACAGATACTAAAGATACTAATCTACAAGTAATTTCTAACTTCCCCCTCTAACTTCAAAGTTCAAACTGCTTGTCCACAAACTTGAACAAATTTCAACGTTTGACCATTGACTTCTATCAACGTTTGCCTTAACTTCACCAGTTTCTGCCCAATTTATCGGTTCACTATTACCACCTCTTATTGCCCAAAGTACACTACCAACAAATCCTCTGATCATTTCAACAACTTCTTCGCCATTTATTCCACCTTCAACATGTACATTTGCTTCAAGATGACGAATAATATGAATCTTTCCTTCATCACTTTCACAAAACAAAACTCTTCTTTCGTCAATAACTTTTGAACTAAATAATTTTGAATTACGAAGAAGACCAAGAATTTGTTGTTTCTCTTGTTCACTTGATACCGGACAAATGAGATGAATAACATATATTTTAGATAATTGATGTAGGAAAGGAACTATATTTTCAATAAATGCATGATTTGGTGAATCAGGATCAGACGATGGATTCCATAACAAAGTCTATATTTTATTTAAAAAAAAGGAAGAAATAAATAAATGAATCGTTAACTTGAATATAAAATTCAAATCCAACATAGATAGTCACTTACATTCTTCATTGAAATAGAGATAGTTTTCTTTTTTGGTGGTAACAATGCATTTCTAAATAACCTAGAAGCAAGGTTCCTTTGATCTCTTTCTGTACGTGTCACTCGACGTGTCTCAGGACGTGTTGGAGCCTATGTAAATTGTTTCTTAAATTGAATTCTTTATGCAAAAAAAAAACTTGCAAGAATATCACAGCCGGTAGTATTCTCTACCTCATCGTCTTGGTCTCTTCCACGTCGCGGTTGTGGATATATTCTTCTAAATACAAATACCGCTAGAAAACCAACAGCTGCTGCTGCCAAAACCGCATAAGTAATAGCGGAGGATGTTGGTCTTTGTGAAACTGTTTTTGGCGGCATTTTGAAAACGCGACTTAAAGAGAAAGAAATTGGAAAACCGCTAAGATGAATATAATCTGTAGCCCCCACAGAAATCTGTAATATCACGTGACAAATTTACTGCATGGTCACATTCGTATTTTTTAAAACTATTTCTTGAGACTCGGATTATTCCCATCCGACTTTTTTCGTTTTTTCTTTTGGATCAACTCTATCACACATTACTATATATTACTAAAAGTATCAAAGTTTCTTTTTTATATCTATTTTTTTTTCTTCATAATGGATTTCCAAAATAGACCAGGTAAAAAAGACAAACATTTTTTTTATTCTTAACGTTTAAATATGAGCAATCTAACCAGATTCTTGAAACATTGTAGGTTCGAAAGTTGGTAGCGGTGGTGTAGCCGGTTACTCAGAAACCAATGTGGATAGACGTGAACGTCTTCGCAAACTTGCTTTAGAAACCATCGATTTAAATAAGGATCCATATTTTATGAAAAATCATCTTGGATCATATGAATGTAAATTATGTTTAACACTACATACAAATGAAGGAAGTTATTTAGCGCATACTCAAGGAAAAAAGCATCAAACAAATCTTGCACGTAGAGCAGCAAGAGAAGCGAAAGAAAATAATAACATTCAACCGGCGCTACAAGCACAAACTAAAGTTCAAATTAAAAAGAATTTAGTTAAAATTGGTAGACCGGGATATAAAGTAACAAAAGTTCGTGATCCAATTACAAGACAACTTGGCTTATTTTTTCAAATTCAATATCCAGAAATTGGTTTGGATGTTATACCAAGACATCGGTTTATGTCTGCTTATGAGCAAAGAATTGAACCTCCAAATAAAGCTCATCAATATTTATTATTTGCTGCTGAACCTTATGAAACTATTGCTTTTAAAGTACAAAGTAAAGAAGTTGATAAGGGTGAAGGAAAATTTTTTACTCATTGGGATCCGGATTCAAAACAATTTTCTTTGCAGTTCTTTTTCAAAAATGATAGACCTGGAATGTATTCTGAGGGAATTCCACCCGGAATAGAAAGAGCTCCTATGGTTAATCCATTAAATCCCTATAATGCACCAGCAATGCGTGGGCCAACTTTTGTACATAATTAAATGGTAATTTAGATTAGATAAATTATCTAAATTGTTTGCATAATAAAATTTTTATGGCAGTTAGTACGTTTATGAAATTTTAAGTCATGTGATTTACATAATAGTGACAATAGATGAGATGAGATAAGATATGTGACTATTTATAAACCCTTTTTTTTTTTTTTTTTTTTTTTTTTTTTTCTTTTTTTTTCTTTTTTTTTTTTTTTTTCTTTTTTTTTTTTATGATGATCTGCGATATACTTTTTAATTGTGGCTGAAATTTTTTCGATTTTGTTAAGAATAAGAAAAGTTTTTAAGAANCTTTTTTTTTTTTTTTTTTTTTTTTTTAAGGGAATTTCGTTTTCAAAGGATAAAAATGCTGAAATTTAGCCAATTTTGAGTTTTTTAAAATAATAAAAACAATGATATAAAATTAACAAGGAATTCCTTTTGAGGATATTAGTTTATTAAAATTAAATTGGCAATGATGATTTAGTAAAAGGTTTGATTTTTCTTAAAGAAAAATATGATTACAAACTTTAAGACCTTACCTTTTCCCTGAATTTAATATCCTGATCCGGGTTTTTATATAATCAGGAATGTGGGGGTCTGAGCCAATTTTACATTATTTATCTTTATTAATGGTGTTATTAATGTTTGTGTGTCCTTAAAATTACTTATAATTAAAAACGTCAAATATAGACAGCATGAATATATATTTTATTATTGATTGGTTTTTTATTTTTTAATAAAAATCTAAATGATCATCTTAACTCCTTTCAATCATGGGATCGTAAGGTGTAAATGCTTCTCTAAATTTATTTGCATCCAATCGTTCTTGTTCTTCATCTAATTTGCATGCTCTCCAATCAGTGCGTTCACTACATCCCAGCAAATTTGCAAGAACTTTCCTACAAAATATTTTCATTGAAAAAAAATAAATATATTAATATATTAAAAATTTTTAACACACAAGTTTTGATTTTTACATACCTTCCAAATTGAACGTCAAATTTTTCATCAGGATTAATTTCATGAACCAATGATGTACCCTCGGGTAAATCAACTTTAAAATAATGTGAAGGTAGCGATGTTGATGTTGGATGTAATTCGAATCCAGAATCTGAAGCTTCTTTTACAAAAGCTTCTCTTATCATATTTGAATTAAATCGAATGGGTACAGGAACAACCTGTAGATGATAGTGTTGTTGTGTCCCACCAGCTCTAGATACTTCATATATAACCATATCTGCATCATATTTACGAAATAAAGTTTTCAATGAACTTTTATATTTCTCAAGTTCATTCATCATATTAACTTGATCTTCAATTGGAACGTCTCGAAAAGTTGGATGGTGTTGAATTGTTACTAATAATACATGACCACCTCCAGGAACTTGCGAAATATTTTTATCTTGGCTATCAGTCAAGGGACCTTTAGCTAACTTTAAAAAATGTTAAAATAATATTAAGAAAATAGATATTCTTTTACAAGGTAAACTATTTTATACCTACCGACAAATAAATTTCATCACCAAGAGAAACAATTAAACTTTTAAATAATAATGATAAATTACTTAGCAAATTAGTACTAATAAATCATTACAAACATGGTTAATTAAAAGAAAAATACATACTGTTTGACTGTTTTCGGATTTGACAAACAGAACCAACATGGAGGAGTAGCTAAGTGAAAAAAAAAAAATTATTAATATAGATACAAAGCAAAAAAAAAAAAAATATTATTATAAATACCTGTTTTGTTATGATTTTTCTTACTCTTGTAAGGGTTAGGACAATCTTTGACCAAATGGCCATTTTCACCACAAAGATTACACGTGTATTCAGGACAATTTATGATATAGTGAACGCCCGCTTGTTTACATTTATTACAGACATAATTTTTGGGCGGTTTTCTAGCACCGAATTTTTTATTCGGATCTTTCAATTCAGGACATTCTCTAATGTGATGCCCAGGATTATTACATTTATTGCATATATACTCTAAATTCAGAAAGAAGAAAGAATGCAAAGTTATTATAAATAAGAATCTAATATAGAAAATTTAGAAAAAAAAAATTCATTTTATTATTTTTTTTCTTTCTTTTTTTACCGTGATTATTTCGTTTACCACGTTTAGTAGATGGTTCTGATGTATCACCTGTATTCCAAAAATAATTATTTCCCTAAAGGAGAAATTTTATAATTAAAAAAAAAGAAAAGAAAAAAATATATATAAATGAAATAAACGTAAATTAATCTTACAGCAGACGAATCATCTCCAAATCCTCTCTTTCTTTTAATAAAAGGACATTCGGTCAACCTATCTGGGGGACTTGCGAATGCCGACGGAGATAAATGTACAAATGGAACAAGATTGAAGCCATAGTACCACTTTTATAAGATTTGCTGTTAATAAAGGTGTTTTTTAAAAAGAAAGATAATCATACATAACATTTTCCTGTTTATAACTAACCTTTGACTTTGAAGAATTACCCACTTCTGCTAAACCAATAAACCAAGTTGGATGTCCAAATTGCATTTGAGAATCATCATCATTATTTATTAAATGTGGAGAAGGAGAATTCTGATAAGGTTCTCTTTGATAGAAGATCTTTTCTGAAGAAGCAAAATGATACCTTGGCTTCACAGCTAAAGCTGCGTTTGCAACATGCTCTGATCCTTTGACATTCGTAGGTAGATTCTGTGTAGAAAGGTTAGTCACAGATTCTGGCCATTCATGTGTGAGAAGAATATCCACCGTATTAGGAAGATCGGTTATCGGTGAATCCAATATACCACTAACGAACGCGATTTTCACACCATGTATTGTGTTAATGCTACCTTTTTGACCTTTATTAAGGAGAGACTCGTAAATACAAAGATAATAGTAAATAACTCAAGATTACGCGTATATACTGGTATCTTACCAAGGTAAAACAGATTCGGGCAAAATTCACCATTATTACTTGCAATGCGCTCTTTTACGATATCAGGTAATTCACGTTCACCATACATGAAATAGGACGTGATTGGCACTATTAATTGAAACGAATCATGAATTTAAAAATTCAAAAAATGAAATTTTACTTTAAAACTGAATGCGTACCTTTGATTTCACCAGAAATTAAAGATTCTATCTCCGTGTTATCTTCTCCGAAAAAATCACCAACACATAATAATAAATCGAAAGGTCCGAATTTATTGTTGATCTTATTAACTCCTGCAAAAAGTTCGGCGAGTTTCCCATTTGCTGAACCAACAGTTAAACTACAAGAAAAAAAATATATAAAAATTAGATCAAAAAGAAACAATAATTCTATCGATTGTTTCTTTTACTTACACTTTGATTGTGGTCATGATAGAACAAATCTATAATTTGGGATATGGCGTAGAATAAGACTACTTGTAGTAGTCAGTTACACAATAAATGTGATGTAATTTTTCATATAAAAATATCACCCGATCTTTAATCCGTCACAGTTTTCTACATTAATAATCAAATAATAATAATAATTACAAACTAACAAAAATGGGGATTCCTTTCAGTTGCCTTGGAGTTGGTGCTGCGTCTTGGATAGCTTCTACTGTTGCTTCTTGTTTTTCTGCAGCAGCCTGTACTTTAGCTTTTAAATCATGTAATTGCAATAACTCTATTGCTACAAGGGTCGGGTTTGCGGTAAGAATAAACAATGTTTCAGTTATGTTGTATATCTTGATTGAGCTAACTTTCAACCTACTTTCATAGATAATATTTCTTTTGAATTCCATGGTAAGAATTATCGAGTCTTTTTTCTTTAATTTTTCCTTCGTGCTTCTAATTTCAACATGTACATATACATACATAGTTCTCATGGATAATGTTATCCGACTGGGCAATTAGACAACTAGAGAAAGTGACTTACGATTACCTACACCTGAAATGTAAAGACGATGGATCTTGTTATGGAGTGCTTGCAGTACATCGTATTTGCTTTGCGCTTTCATTGTTCCATTTCTTTTTGGGACTTTTAGTAATTGGAGTCAATGATACCCATGATAAGCGAGCATCCATTCAAAATGGGTAATTAACAAAAAATTGTTGTATTTTCGAATTTATTTTTTTATATATTACTAATTTTTTATGATTTTATAGATGGTGGGGACCGAAAATTTTATTATGGATAACATTTGTAATAATTTCCTTCTTTATTCCTAATGGATTTTTCATGTTCTGGGGAAATTATATTGCATTATTTGGGGCAACAATATTTATATTAGTTGGATTGGTATTATTAGTAGATTTTGCGCATACATGGAGCGAGAAATGTTTAGAAAAATATGAATATGAGGAGGATAATCGATGGAAATATATCCTTATAGGATCAACAATTGCAATGCTGATCGGAACAATTGCACTAACAGGAATTATGTATGGATACTTTGCTGGATCTGGATGTAAACTTAATCAATTCCTTATTACATTTAATCTTATATTATGTTTGATTGTAACTGCTATAAGTATTTCACCGAAAGTACAAGATGCGAATCCAAGATCAGGATTACCACAAGCTTCAATGGTTATAATTTATTGTACTTATGTTATATTGAGCGCAGTTGCAAATGAACCTGATGATAATATGTGTAATCCATTAACAAGAAGTAGAGGAACAAGAACAACCACCCTTGTTATTGGGGCTTTATTTACCTTTTTAGCTATATCTTATTCAACATCAAGAGCCGCTACACAAGGGAGAGCATTAATTACGAAATCTGATTACCATCCATTAAATACAGCTTCGGCTGTGCCTTTAGTGACAAGCCAACCTGAAGGTTTTCCAAGCAATATGAGATCTGATGCATTAACAGCCGCTGTTGAAAGTGGTGCTATGCCTGCTTCAGCTTTAGATGATGATGACGACGATGATTATGATGTTAAAGATGATGAAAAAAATGGGGTTGCTTATAATTATGCATTCTTTCACTTAATTTTTGCTATAGCTTCTATGTATGTTGCTATGCTGCTTACTAATTGGAATAATGTTACTACTATTAATTCTGATGAAAAATTAGTTGTTATCGGGCAAACTTATATTGCTGTTTGGGTAAAAGTTATTTCTAGCTGGATTTGCATATTATTATATTCTTGGACTCTTATTGGCCCAGTTCTTTTACCTGATAGATTTGTAGTAAGTTTGTGATATATATTTTTTAAAAATATGTTATAATTTAGAAATTAATTTAAATTTTTTTTTTTTTTTTATAGGATTATTTTTAAGTTCACATCATATTAATTATAAGGGAAACGTATATCAAATTTATTATTCATTAATCATTCTATTTTGATGTTTAATTTGTATTTAAGTATTTAATATTATACATAAACAATAAAGAAATATATTAATATCAATATTTTCATATGATATAACTGAAATATGACAATATATATATATTATAAGAAATAACAAAATTTTTATTTTCAAATATAAATGAGTAAGCAAAGAGTATGCCGCCCCATGTGACACCGTACTCAAGTGATAAATAAAATGGGCGGCCTACATTAAAACCTATCATTACTAACAAAACCAAGTTTAATTTAGGCAATAATAAGTTCTGTAAGGGTCAGCCTAAGCTGACTCTTTTTCCTTTTTTGTGAGACATCGTAAGAGCACCATTTATAAATTCTTTAGATCCGCTTAGTTTTTTATGGATATATCCACAGAATCCACAAGTTTTGCTTGTTTAATCTTCTGTGCAAATTACACCATGGATATTCACGTGCCTTATGGATCAAATGCTATCGAAAGCGAAAATGTGACCATGTACACATGGCTCGAAGCAGTCTTGGATCCAATTCGTCGTTGCCCACGTCGGATCATTTCTTGAGTGCGGAATTCAGGTAGTAATATAATATGATAATTCTCACAAAGCCATTTAACCAGCTTATAATGACAATCATTCACAAGACAACGGATTTTCTTAAAATTATCATAATGCGTGCTAGCCTACACGTCTCCAATGTTTTCCAATAGAGATGGGTAACTTACCAAACTTTCAGTAACTAATCTTCATGCAACAAATGCAACAACAAACGTAGATATTTGGTTAATTGTACAGTTCACCCTCGCTATAGTGAATTTTTATATAGTGAATAATTTGCTATAGTAAAGAAAAGCTCAGGTACGGATTTTTAATAATTCTTAATACAGTTCACCTTCGCTATAGTGAATCCCTTACTATAGTGAATCTTAACCTTCAGCCCATGAGCTTCACTATAGCGAGGGTGAACTGTACATATATAAATAATATAATTTTATCTCCAGTATAAAAATAGGAACGTACTAAATATCTTTTATTATTAGAAGCAAGTGAATTTAACAATTCGCAAACGATCGTTCCTTTATCGAATCTTTTTCTATAAATGTAGGTTTAATTCCCAGTAATTTACTGTAGAATTACAATGACATTCAAAATATGATAGTTACTTGCTGCAGAAACGCTTTGCGAAGTAAATTGGAATAATTTTTCTCTAGGTCAAAATACTGATATACTTGTTCTTTCTCGTAATACTACAAGATTTTTTCTCCTTGTTTGCTATTAATTGCTCATTTGTATTTTTTATATTTAAAATTACCTCTTCATAAGCGGTCTAGCCATTGGTTCGCATATCCATTCAGTCTACCTATTATTTTCTATCATCACATTATACTATACTTCATCTTTGATTTTACCACATCATCACCACGCACTCCTTCATTACATCGTATATTATATTATTTTAAATCATTCCTACTTAAAACATGGTCATATATAAATCACATTTTCTTATACTTTCCATTGTATTAATTGTTTGTATATTTAGATAAGATTTTCGGAAGAAATGACATAACGCTTCTGTAGGAAGAATTTTAGAATAAAAACAATTATGTGAATATGTATGAAAGAAATAAACTATCACATGACTGTGATCGCGAACTTGCTTGAAGAGTTAACAACTAAAACAATATTCTAACTTATCTTGGGGTTAACAACTTCGCTAATTTAGGATCATAATAGAGCTGATTCCCATAATGGCATAATCCCTTAACGCTTGAAAGAGGCGCTCTGATTCTATGACTTGCGTCTCCGATACATTAGTCTGATTGACATGTCTCTGATTCTTGATCTTGAATTTTTAGTTTTAACGTATTCCTAATTATGCACTGCGCCTAAGTTGTGATTGATTTGTAAATCATTTCGGTTCTTCACACACACCCGCAAATACAGAAAGAACGAGAGAAAGGGAGTAGGAGTGGTGTGGGTGGGGAAGATAAAGGACAAGGGAAAGGAAAGAGAGGGTGAAGGGACCACTCTCCTCAAAAATATAATTAGTATTTCTCAACAACTTTTATGTATGCTTCGCAATCGTGCTGCCGTGAACTTGGAAACTATCACTTTCAGAAATTATGATAAATTTCTTAACATCTCTAATCATCTCACGAAACCACTCAATAAGTTATTCTGTCATAGTTTATTATTTTTTTTTTTTAAAAAAAAAATTTATTAATAAAAGGTCCTTTGCAAAATATACAAAGCGTAAAACCATTTGTTTAATAAATATATTGCACTAATCAAATTAAATCAAATTACTAAATGTTTTTTTTTAACTAGCACAAATTATCTAATTAAATTTTAACCCCTTTAGCAAGATATTTCTTATATTCTTCAATAGTACCTTTCCATGTGGTTACTTTTTTATCTTTACATAACCATATATCGTTTGCTACCTGAGAAATTAATCGGAAATCGTGGGATACTAGCACTACGCCACCCGAATATTCTTTTATAGCTTTTGCAAGTCCGTCAATACTTTCCATGTCCTAAAGATGGATAATTTCGTTAAATTCAAAGTTTTTCAATGAAAGAAAGTACAAAAGAAATAATTACCAAATGATTTGTAGGTTCGTCCATAAGAACAATGTCTGGTTTCGATAATACCAGTTCGGCGAAAACTAATCGAGATTTTAATCCATCACTCAAAGTCTTGATGGCATTCGTTTGGTGAATGCCTGTAAGACCATATCGTCCGATTTGACTTCGCCAAAACTATTTTAATTCCAAAAAAATTAAAAATAAAAATGTTATACATGAGATAATGATCAAATAGCATCTGTATTTATATTTGCATAAACTCACATCAATATCTCCATTCAGATGAGCAAAATTTTTTCTCATATAATTAATTGGACTCAAATCCATATCAAGTTGATCAGCGCTAAAAAGTAATCAAATCAAAATGTTAGAAAATTAATGTATGAGGAACTAAATTTTGAAAAGTTTGAAAAGTTTATATACAGACCTATGCTGGCTGTATTTGGCCAATTTCAAATTAGTATGGCGAGCGATTCTACCTTTCACAGGTTGAATCTCGCCCATCATCAATTTTAACAAAGTACTTTTCCCCACGCCTAATTAAATTTTAAAAATAATAATGTAAGTATAAATATTTTTATTATTTTACAATAAAATTCAAACCAATCAAGATAATCACCATTAGGTCCCACAAGAGCTACACGAGAATCCAAATCCACCGCTAGATCAAGATCTTTATATAACAAATCTACAGTTTTACTGCTTCCGCTATAAGAGAAAGATACTTGATCGAATTGTAATACCGGTGGAGGAAGTTTTTCAACATTTTCAAATTTGAATTTGAATGTGATGGGTGGTTCGACCTATAATAACGTCATATTAAACCGTTAGAGAAATTCAAAATCATGATATAAACATAAATAAATATACACGTACTTTTTCAATTAAACCGGCAGCTTCCATCTTGTCAATGATTTTTTGTTTACTTTTGGCTTGCTTGACCTATTAGAGGTTAAATTTATACGAATTAGAATAATATTAATAATAAAATTATTCGTCAATTTCTGTAAAAAATATTCGTTATTCACTTACAAGATTAGCGTATGTACCAGCCGAAGCAATGAATTTTTTAATGTGTGCAATTTCTTCCTGTTGTTTATGATATGCCTTCATTTGGTTTACTTCCATTTCTGCTTTAGTCTTTACGAAAGAAGAGTATCCACCTCCGTAATAATTTAATTTTTTCTTTTCCGTTAAATGCATAGTTTCATTGCATACACCATCAAGAAAATCTTGAGAATGACTGACCAAAAGTAAAATACTAAAATAAAAAAAAAATTAATGATATTAACATTCAAAATATAAACTTTAATAATTTCTACTATTTTTGATCTAACTTACCGATTATAATTCTTTAAATACTCTTCGAGCCAAACACAAGCTTCCAAATCCAAATGATTTGCTAAAAAAAAAAAAAAATCATTATTAATAAAAAAAGATTGAAAACATTTTAAATAAAAAAAAAAAGATTATATAAATTTTCTTAAGCTTACTTGGTTCATCTAACAACAATAAAGTAGGTTTAATGAATAAAGCTTTTGCGAGCGCTACTCGCATTCTCCAACCACCAGACATATCTCTAGTTTTTTTGGCCATCATTTCTTGAGAGAAACCTAATCCATGAAGGAGAGTGCTAGCACGAGATTTAAATGTCGACTCATCGAGAGCATTAATACGATCATACAAATCTTCTAATCTTAGGTCTTCCGCGCCTTCTGCCTCTGCCAGTATATCCTCAACTTCTTTTTCAAGACTAAAAATTAAATACAAATTGAAGAAACCTTAATAAATTCTAAACCAATATTGCATACATTATAAAAGATCTTTGATAATTACCGAGTAATTTCACTCTTTGCTGCCAATATGACATAGTCGATAGCATTAAGATCACAAGGTTCCGCTTCCTGATTTAATAAATATATCTATAAAATGCAATGAAATGTTGATTAATCTTCAGTCGAATTAAAAGTAATAAATGAAAGCAAAAATATTAATTTATACATACATCAATGTGCTCCGGAATTGGAGCTTCTCTCGCGGCCAAAGACGCCAAGAAAGTGCTCTTTCCTGAACCATTTGCACCTATTAGACCATATCTAAATTTAAAAAGACCGGTCAAATTACTTTACTAAGTATTCAACAACTCGAAAAGAATGTCAAAAAAAAAAAACGAGTAGATCAAATAACGTACCGTCTACCGAAATTAAGTTCAATTGTTGCATTATCGACCAACACACGCCCATAAAAAGATAAACTATATTGCTCAATCTTAATATCTCTTGATCTGGGCTGTGAAGCCAATACACCAGTAGCAGTTCTTTCGCCAGAGATCTTTAATGTTTCCAAAGACAAGCCGTTAGCAGCGGCTGCAGTACTATTCTCAATAGTTTCTTTATTAGTAGATGAGCCGTTTACATCGGGTGTTTCTTCTGGCTTCTTTGAATTTTTGGCGGCTTTTTTGGCCAAACGTTTTTGTTTTGAGACTGATGACATTTTTTTTTGTTTGTGGGTTTAAGTAATTAAAAGGAAACTCTTTTGACCAATGAATGTGTTAAGAGTTTAAAGTAGTCACCAAGTCTACTAATCAAGATGTGATCGAGCGGAACGAATAGATCTGAAGATGTCGACTAGTTTTCTTACCCGAGAAAACTTATTTCAAATTCTCGAATGTTGAGATGGATCGAGAATTCGGATTAAAAAATAATTTATATACTATTATGGATCGGGGCATCGGTAGGACCCTTGCGTGTGGCATATAAAATTACTTAATTTGGTAACAATTTAGTTGCTGCGGTATCGTTTTCGGAGGTTTTGCAATAATTATTTACCTAAAAAAGACCGCATTACATCATAATTGTTATAATTTCAAGTGGATAGAAGTAGGATCTAATTGAAAAATCAAAAGTAGTAAAGGCAACGTCGAGGCTTAGTTGCGTTTTTTTTATTTTGTATTACTGCAAAAAAGATTAGCTTTTCAAATTTAACAAATGCTATATAACTGCGTAGTAACATTTTTTGTGGCCAAGTATTTGAAAGTATTAGGTATACTATTAATAGCGCCGCAGTTATTGTCTAATTGGCGTAGTAACATTTTTTGTGGCCAAGTATTTGAAAGTATTAGGTATACTATTGCTCTGAATTAATATTTTTATACGTTTTATGTGGAAGGCACATATGATGACTGCGAAAAATTTTACGGAATATGTGGAGAAAAATTGTTTTTGAATCAGCGCATAGGTAAGTATTAAATAGTATTGAACTTTCATTTTATTGTTTAGAGCTAGAGATATTCTCATTAAATGTTCGTTACTCGGATATCTATTATTGTATTCATTTTACAAAACAAATTATTTCTCTGATTCGTTAATACAGAAACATTTGTACGAATATTTTAGAATTCTCATTCTTGAGGGAAAATTCTTAACCCATTCAAAGAATAACGACTACTAAACTGGACCATCCGAGACACTAAAGAAGGATATTCATTCAGTGAAACGGAGGGGGCACACAAGGCAATCAAACCTAAAAATTTAATATTACGAAAATGAAAAAAAAATGCTATAATGATATTGATACTTATTCTTCTCCACAACTTCATAATTCTTGGATATATTTTATAAAAATCACTATAAAAATCACAAACATCATGATTACTTTCACATTCATTTAAAAGAAAGTAATAACTAAAGGGATAGCCGGGGATTTATTATTACAATATTCGGCAAAAAAATCAGTTACTCGTATAGTGTCTGAATTTCGGCGTAATTTTACCATTTTAACCTCGTTATTATTTTAAGTGACAGGTAAAATTTCTCCACGTTCTTCATAGTTCCTTAGCTTTAAATCGGAAAGGAGCCTAGCCGCTCTCATAATTCAAAGAGTCAGCATTGCCACGTATATGTTGTGATCATTCAAGCGAGTTATAATTAGAAAATCATTGTTTCGCTATTCCGGTAAACGCCTGATTACAATTGTAGACTAGTTTAAGCTTATAAGTGATTTTAAGGTGACTATTAATAATTTGATATCAATAAAATATACTTCAAATTTTTCCATAACATATTTCCTACTTGCAAACTTAATTTTTTTTTCGAACTTTTTCGAACTTTTTAAAAACAATGAGAAACTTAAAATGAATTATTAAGTCTCTAATAGACAAATAGAAAATTCAGAACGGACAAGTAAATATTGACAAAACCCATAAACGATACTTTCTGTATATGTTAACCAAGTTATTTCTCTCTTTTTTAGTACCTTGGATCTCCCAGTATTTCTTACAAAATGAAAATTTCGCTGATCTGAGGCAAAACAACTGAATGATTATGATCCGCCATGAATTTAATGATAAATTGTCGTAACGACATTCTATTATCATAAGATGCGGTGGGTAACTTTAAACTTCCTGAGCACTTTGTTCTTGTTCAGAAATAGTTTAGTAGTTGCAAACTGTCAATATCGTACTTCACCTTAAAGAATGCACAATTGCAGATCTTTGTCTTTCGGTTTATAGAATAAAGCTGAACTAATCGACGTAGAGCCATTCGATTTATCCTGGAGATACATAATAATAGATACTTATTTACCCAAAATAATTGGCATAACAACGTTTTTCATTTATCTGTGTAACCTCTGGTTGTACTTCATAAGTAACATTACTATATACCAATAGGAAACTTTAAAAAAATTACTTTTTCTTTTAAATAAAAATTATAAGCAAAAACTGTAGTTATAAATAGTTGAGCTGAAATTTTAACTCCTGAATTTAATAAAATGATTTATTAATTACATAATTTGAATGGATAAAATTTTTTCACATAATTTATATTACGTAAAAAAAATTAATTTTATCAGATAAAAAATTATCGAAAGGGTAGATGGAAATAATAATCATATGAACAATGCAATAGAATCATCTTATTTTGCGAAGGATGACAATCATTACTGTATTATTAAAGGATATATTAATAGATCTCTTTTGATCCAAAAAATTTCGATAAAGTATGACTGATTACTTAAGAAAGTAATTTAATAAAAAAAATAGTAATTTCATAGAGATTACGATCAGTTTAGTCTCTATATTTAGTATCGACTACGTTCCATTACCCAATTTAGTATTAAACATTATATTTAATAAAAATAGTTAATAAGGAATTGTTCCAAAAAAAGAAAAAATTGTTTTTAATAATAAAAATAAATCATAACGCCACTTTAGAGTTTCCATAAATTATGCACTCCGTTACACAAATATAAAAGATCAAATCATATTAAAGATTATTATGTATATCAATTTTTACCTCCAAGCAGAGATGTTGTAATCGGTTAATCGAAATTTTCTATATAATGGGTTAAATTTTCTTATATCTTTTTTTTTTTCAGTTTTAAAAAAAAAACTTTTTTAAAAATCCAAAATATACATATATATATATATACATTTTTTTTTTTAGTCTTTCTAATTCTAATAATTAATAATGAAACCTACAAGTTTATTATTTGTTGCTTTGGTCGCCATCTCTGCTTTGGCCCCTACAAGCGAAGCGGTATGCGCTAATATGGCAGTATACACCGATTGTAAAAATAGAGGCACTGCTCAATTAAACGGTTGTGCATTCGACGATTGGAATTGTAAATGCAATGCCAATAATGGTATGTTCAAAAAAAAAACAAGAAAAAAAAGTTATTTAATATAATAATGATATCCCGAATAACCTTTTCTTCTTTTTTCTTCTCTCTCTTTTTTTTTTATTTTCAAAAAATCTCTTTACTTTTAGCTCTTCAAAATTGCTACCTTCAATGTCCTGATGATCTTGATATACAAAATGAAGGAAAAGCATATCAGGTAAGATTCTCAATTTTTTTTTTTTTTGTTCATTTCAATGTAACACGTAATAAATTTTTTTTCTTTTAAATAAATTCAGCCAGCAGTACAACAATCTTGTCAATTAGCTGCAAGTCAATCATCGGCTAAAGCAGCAGCGACTCCTGTAGCTGCAACTCCTTTAGCGACACAACCCGCACCAGCACAAACTCCTCCGCCAACAGTTTCATCATCGAGTCCATCAACTCCATCTGAAACACCCAAAACTAACAACGCCAAATCTTCTGCTGATAGCAATAAAATAAATGTTATGATTGCTGCTGTTCCACCCGTTGCTGCTCTTATAATTGGACAATTCGTTTAGATTTTATTTTTACATTTTTTTCTAATTTTTTTTTTAATATTTTAATTTGTTCTCATTTAAAATTGTACAAAAATAATGTGTTCGATTTTTTAATTTTTTTATCTCGTAAATCTTACCTTTTTAATCTATAGAAAAATATGCAAATGATCATTTAATAAAATAGTGTCGTACACAAAAATATGTATTGGCAAATTTTTACTATATATGGTGGTAAAGAATGATCTTCATACATTTTTAATACGAAACTTCGGTTCCAATTATCGCTTGTAATCCTAAATACATATGCGCCTCATATATTATACGCAGGAAAATAGATCACTAAATAATAAATTCAATTCAATCTTAATACTATCTCTGAGAAGACCCCCTATTTATACCACATTAACATAATTTTGTACTATCATTAATTAATTAAATAATCTAGAAATTATTATATTGGAAGACAACCATATTATAATTGTACTTTAATATTTATATTCCTTCGAAAGAAGTAACAAACGTGGGTGTTATGATATTAACGTACGAACTGGCCTTCCACGTGCAAGTGCATAACTAACTCCTAAACTTTGGTAGGATGTGTAATCACGATCAATATAATTCTGGTCAGGGAACTTTTATCGTGAGAAATTAAATTAAAATGGTACATTATGAGAATTGAAAATATATATGTATATATTAAAAGTTGAGAAAAGTCGCTTCAAATTTTCGAAATTTCAACAACCCCAGTTTCGGAAAACTTCCTATATTAACGTATAGATTTACTACTCGTTAATTCATAAGATAAATAATAATATAATTTTACGATCACCTGTTTTATGACTAATAAAGAATTGATCTTATCTGTTTTTTTTTTTCTTCAAAGGATGAAATAGAATAAAAATTAACCATCGTCACAAACCGGTTAATGCTAATAATAATTAATTTAGAATTACCTTTCTTTATTAAGAAACAATTCCAATATTAAAATATCCAATTTAATCTAGTAGACTTAATGGTTTCGATCTATTATATCTACAGTATAGATTTACTGCGAATACGTCAAAATAACAAAACTTGTTATTGTCACGTGATAAACAAGAAAAATTTGAATTAACTTTTAAAAATAAGAATATCAAAACAAAAATGATGAAATATTTGCAAATCATCATAGATCGACAACCCCGCATGACACTATAATTAGTCAACGTGACATCTTTTCCCCGATTTTTTATTTCTTTAAAAGAAAAAGTTAATATATCATAGTCATATAAAAATCTTTAAATAAACTCATTAAATCAACTTATAATCATCATTTAGTATAATCTGTGAAACATTCGATTTTGAACACGAAGCTCCCATTAGCGGCATGTGATGTTAACTCCTAAATAAGTATCTATTTATTTGATAGTCATAGTCATCAGATAGCAAATATTTCAAAGTAGAGTCTAATAATTATAACTATTGCACAATTTTTATTCTTTGTGGCGTCATATTCATTTGATCTTGTCCTCCTATAAAGTTCATATGAATTTATTGCACAGCAAAATTTGAACTCCTTGATCCCTATCCTGACACGTCTTTATTTAAATATATACTCTTCATCTTTATAAATTTTTTCTTCTTCATCTAGTATTCTAGTAGTAAAATTTCTCTGCTTTTGCTAGAAGAAATTGATGGATTGCTAATCGGAAATATGAAATATTGTGAATTTAACCGTACCGATTTAACAATTTAACCGAATTCCGTCACGAAATGACAATGGCAAAATTTGCTCAGGAATTGCGTCATTCATATCCAATCAAATTTTGTTTGTTTATGCCGTCTTTTTTTGGTCTCGTCAATCAATAATTTGTAATCAAAGAATTTTGGATACCGATTATATGATTCAGAAAAAATATAAAATGGGTCGAATTTTTCCTTATAACAAAAAGAATAACCACTTTTTTTAATCACCTATTCCAATTCAATTTATCAATTTATATCAAACACATATTCTTCTTTTAGGATATCTTTATCGTATACACGTGATCATCATTTAAAAAACATTTAACAAATTAAATATATATTAAATGGACTCAATAAGTATGGAAACAGCTTCAAATTATGGAATAATTTTATCAAGAACAATAGGATGGGTAAATATTTATTTTATCATATTATTTGAAAATATAAGTGTGACGCAGTTAACCTTTATTTCTCGCATATTATAGATATATTTCTTTGCATGGTCAATAAGTTTTTATCCACAAGCGATATTAAATTGGCGAAGAAAAAGGTATTTAAATTGATTCTTATTGTTATCTATTCTAATCGTTAAATCGTTAATATTCATTTCAAAAAATTAACTCTCAACTTTTTTTAAAAAAAAAAAGAGTACATGGATTATCCATAGATTTTCTATGGTATAACGTCTTTGGATTTGCATGTTATACAATCTTTAATTTAGCTTTTTTTTCATCCGAACAAATACGTAAAGAATATCGAGATAGGAATAATGGCAAAGATAACTTGGTACAAATTAACGACGTAGCATTTTCTTTACATGCATTAATATTAAGTACAATCACTTTAGTTCAAACATTCATATATAAGGTATGTCACATGTCATTTTCTTTTCTTTCTTATTATTTTGCATTTTATTTATATATATTTTTTATTTGATTTTTATAGAGAGACCAATCTCAACAAATATCAACTGTTGCATTCTCATTAATGTCTATATTATTGTTCTTTTCATCTTCATTGTTGTTTGGAGCTATCTTTGGATTATGTCATTGGATTGATCTGTTATATTATTTGAGCTACGTCAAGTTATGTTTTAGTTTCATCAAATATGTTCCCCAAGTAAGTTATTTTTCATAAACAAGTCTTTATTACGCCTCGCTTTGTGATCTAATTTAAATATTTCGTTTTAGGCGTACTTAAACTTCAAAAGAAGATCTACTGTCGGATGGAGTATCTATAATATATTATTGGTAAGCATATTATTATTTAAAATTTTATTTTCTGCTTGTTTATTATTTCTCTTATTTAATTTAAATTTTTTGATTTAGGATTTCACCGGTGGTATTTTATCTATCTTCCAATTAGTGTTGGATGCGTACTTACAAGATAATTGGCACGGCATATTAGGGGTAAGTTATTATTAAATAAAGTTATTTTGTTATCACGTGTTTTGTGAAATATTTAGACTAATTCACAACTTATTCTTTTAATTTACTAATAGGATTATGTAAAACTGTAAGTTTTTTTATTTTGATTTTTGATATAATGTTTCCTTTTTTCAAAATTAATTCTAAATTCTTTTTCTTTTTTTTTTATTTAATTTATAGTGGTCTTGGATTTCTTAGCATATCATTTGATTTATTGTTCATGACACAACACTATATACTTTATCGTAATCGGGAAGATCCTGATATATTGGATATATTGCCAGATGAAAATTCGGAAAGTACTCTTTTAATAGCACCACAATCAGATAAACAATTAAACAGATACGTATAATATAGTATAATATAATAATAATATAATAGTATTTAGTTATATGATTTTCAAAAGTTATATAGAAATATTATAAATATTATAGAAATAAATAGTAAAATGTAAATAAATAAATTACCTTTTATTTAAGGGGAGGGCCAGAAATTTTTTAGACCCCCTTCCCCCTTATTTATTATTACTTATATAATAATTCCCCCTTAGCGTGTGTTTTCTCAAAAATTATGGTAATCAAACTTGCTCAGTACCCTCGAAAATAACCGGAAAAAAGATTTAATTAGTACTATTTTTTTTATGAATTTTGTTTTTTATCGCACCCGCGAAATATCGCATTCCCATATAAAGTCGAAAACAGTATTCTTTGATATACTAAATAAAAATTGTAAAGCAGGCATACTATATGGTTTTTAAAAGTGTTACAATAGATACATAAAAGTTGCGTCAAAAATGTAAAAAAAAAAAAATCAAAAGAAAAATTGAGAATTAGAGCGATATCGCACTGATATCGCGTATGCGAAAAAATATTAAATCCTTTTTTTTTTTTTATATTGCAAATATCGTAAAATAAAAAAAATGAAAAACTTATATGTGAAGTATATGCTGCGGAATTAAATAATTATTATATTAATAGCTATGAATTTTCGTTATTTTTATTTTGAATTTATTTATTTATTTTATTTTATATGCCTAAATAGGACCGGGAAAACCTATAATGGAGGTCACTGTAGTACCCGGCACACTAGTAAAATCCATTGAATTTTTTATATATACAATTTTTAATGAAGCCAAAATGTGTGGATTAAACTTATCTGTTTAAGTTTAGAGTTAAATACAGGATTTATACACTCAATTTAGATTTTTATATATTCTGTGTAACACAAAAAGGTGGTTCGCATAATTAGTAAATTTTTTAAAAAGTGGTTCGCGTTATTATAAAATTTTTTTCGGAAAATTTAATGATCTCAGTTAATATTGATATTAAAAGAATAATTTATGATTCATTTTATTTTTCAGACATTTCTGTATGATTTGTTAGATTTTTAGTTTAATTACTTAAGAAAAATTTTTATTAATTTGGGCAAAACCATCATTTTACTATTGTCCGGTGACATTTATTATAAGTTTTCCCGGTCCTGCCTAAATGTAGATGAATTTTGGCGAATTGCCGGACATATTGGATCACGTGGAGAAGTGCACGTACACGTCACTGAAATTTGTGCAAATATTAAAATTTGTGATACGTAATAAACAAGATAAATAAATGTTACAATACACGCTCCGGACCCATAACGGTTTCCGTTCCGTTTCCTAGTAATAATTTGTAATTGGTTTTGAAATTTAGGATTAGATTTTAGTAATTCGAATTTTAGCAATATGTAATATCCAGGAGTACAGTAATTAATTTGTATGTTTTACAGAATTTCTTGTATTTAGTGAATAAAGAAATGAAACACAGCTCATTATTGTAAAATCATTTCATCACATGGTAGCCAAAAACAACAAAATATTAAAACAGTAATGTAAATATTATATATCCAAATAATTGGCTAAATTTCTCAACATCTGTTACACCTAGAAACATGAAACCACCATCATTTGACTTTTCTTAATTGTAACAATTCTGACGGCTACATTTCACCCTTCTGTAATTACTGAATGCGAAGGAATCCTAAAAACAAATTATTTTTTGAATTTCATGTGATAACTAATAGTATGTTAAACTTTATTGATATATTAATCCAGGACTTTGTCTATAGTTCATTTTACGATATTGATATATTTTAATCTAAATCATAATACAGCTTATTAAATTTTTTTCGAGATCAAACAAAATTTAATTTATTTATGGTTTCCACAAAGTTATAATCCCATCATCGGAATAAGCAGCTAAAATATTTGAAAATGGATGATGTGCAAAGCCGATCACTTCTGCATCAGATAACTGTTAAAGAAAAAATTAAATATTTTTAATTTAAGAATACCAAAATAAACAGTATTATTTGCACGTAAAAAAAGGTACCTTTAACGTTGTAGTTAATTTTCCTGATTGTACATTAAAGCAATACAAACTAGAATCTTCACCTACACAATAAATAAAATCTCCTTGAGGAGACACTGTACAACTAACAAAATCACCATCGGTCTTCTTTTCTGAAGTAAATGATTTAGTTATCTGAAAAAAGAAGGGGATTAAAAAAGGATCGAAGTATGCTTCCAATAATAATAATTACATTAAACTTTCTTACTTGTCCCTTTATTGTCATTAAATAAATTGTCGAACTTTTATTACATACTACGAATTGATCAGCATTTTTCGGCATTTGAACAACACAATTGACTGTTACTCCTCCAGCAATGAATGAACTGTCTCGATTACTACGACCACCAGTTTGTGGAAAAATTGTATGTAGACAACCAGTTGATTTACTGTCCCAAATCTAATAATTAGAAATATCTATAATTAAATTGCCTCTTTTAAGATATTTAAATTTTTCTTAAATATTACTAACTTTTACTGTACCATCACTACTAGCACTTAATATTCTTGACATGTCATGCGAGAATATTGCATTATTAACAAATGAAGTATGCCCTCTGAATTCTTTTATTGTTTTACCAGATTTCAAACCATGAAGTCTGTCATAAAAGATAGTATAAAATATTTTATTTTCAAATGACAAATTATTAAATAAACATAACATCGCACAGACCTGACAGTATGGTCAAAACTAGAACTTAAAATTTGAGTTCCATCCCGATTAAAACACACAGAAGTTACACCTTGGCTATGAGCTGGAGAAAACCGTCTCGTACATTGGCCCGTTTGAATTTTCCAGACCTAAAACTTTACGTCTTGTAAATTATTCTGTAAATAACCAATTTTTTTTAAAATTTAACTACCTTGATAATTCCATCCTGTGCACCAGATACAAGCATTTCACTATCTCTGCTAAAACTTAGACATAGTACAGGATCTTCCATTAACATTGAATTATCCTAATATATATAATAACATATAACATTAATGAATCGTCTCTGAATCGATACTTGCCTAGAAAATTAAACTTTTAATCTAACCTCTATTTGGTATTTAAAATCTTTTCGAAGCTTTCCAGTTAAGTAATTCCATATTTCGATAAATCCATCCAAACTACCAGTGGCTAAATATTGACCGTCAGGTGAAAATGCGACAGCTTCAGCGTGATGTTTTTTTGGAAACTTAATAATAGATGAATGTAAAACGATTGAACTTTACACTTAATTCCCCATATGATTCTTAAATTATAAACGATTATATATTTTACCTTAATTTTATTATAGCATCTCGTAGGAACTGCATCGTCCTCAGCTTTTGTTGTTGGTGCCGAACCTCTAAAAAGATCAAATGCAGTATCTGGTGGCAATAATCCTTGATGCTGTTGCCATTTTAAAGCTTGTCCAAGGAGGGATAAAAGTCTCGAAGACGGTACCACAGTAACTTCACTAGAAAGTTCTGTAAAAATAAATATTTAATTAAATAACAGAATATTAATCATTAGATTATACTAAAACGTATTTAACCTTGTGCAATAACCTGCCGCCTCTTTTCTTTTGTCATTCCTGATGGATATGCCTTAACATCAATATTTTAATTAATTAGACAATTAAAATTTTTTGGTAATATGAATAATGATAACTTACCTCTTTTTGATCAAACCATGTTCGAGAAAGTAAATTTTCAAGGTGAAGATATCGCTCAGAATAATGATCTCTCAAAAGTTGCATTGGATCAGTTTGCCTTAATAAAGTTCTGGCTGCACCTAGTTCTCGCATTTCGATTAATTCTAAAACAATCTAAAAAAATGGAATTATTTTCATCATTGCATTTACCTTGCTACACTATAAGGGAAAATTTAATAAATATAAAACCTGTTCATAGAGGTCAATTAATTTTCTCTGGGGTATTTTCAAATTAGACACAGTGCGCAATACAACTTCCCAATGTCCTTCTATAATTTCATTAGTAAAAGATTCAATTGAATCAACAGTATTAAGAGCTATGGTAGATTCTTCCTAAAATCGATTAATTTGTATGAGAATTCAAGAAATTGTAATACCGCGTTAATGAAGAACAAACCTGTAAAGCGGCATAACTATTTGGAAGGTTACTTTCTTTCAAAAATTGTAAAATTAATCGAATTACGCTATAAAATGAAAAAAGAAAGATAAATATTCAATTTATAAGATATAGAAATAATAACTGTAAATTTAGTATTTTTTACTCTGTTGACTCAATTTCCATGGTTTATGTGCATATATAAAAACTTATCGAATTTTGCGTTTCAGTTTATTATTTAATCTCACATTCTGATCTTCCAAAAATGGAAATCCCTCATCACAATTTTATACGATCGGTACGACAAATAATCGATATAACTGAATCAACCAATCTTTTAGTTTATTTTGTTATCTTCATTATGCAATTTACAAGGTTTTTTTTTCCTTCACTTCGAAATGAGTTTATTTTTAATTGCCGCACGAAATTGAAACCAACGTATCATACCTGGCATGAGAAAGTTGCGAATGTTTTACCAAATAATGTCGACAATAATAGTGACGTGTTTAAGGTAAGTACTTTTTTTTACTGTATGTTAATATGTTAATAAAAATTTTTTCATATTGAATTTAATTATTGTAATAGGAAAATGCTGACAAAATGAACATTTTGGTCGAAAATTTGGAAAATTTAATAAATAAAATCGTATTAGGTAAAATCAGTTTATCCATTTAATTTTTGCAAAATTTGTAAATAATTTGTCTTCTGAATTCCTATCAGGTGGAGGTGAAGCAGCTCGAAAACGTCATTTAGAACGCGATAAGTTATTACCTCGTAATAGGTTGACCCTAACTTTTTCTTTACATCCTGATTCGTATTGTTATACATAATCTTATATCTAACCCTACTCGAATTCGTTCCACTAAAGGATAAGTCGTTTACTTGATAATGGGTAAGTTTATTTATAATTCCTTCTATATTAGGCGACACAAAGTGGTAAAAATGGTTTTCATAGTCCGGCCGGGTCAGTTTTGTTAAGTCTTAAAAAAAAATTTTTTATATTATTACTATACCGGGTGAGAATTTTTTAAAAATTGAAAAAAAATTTCGCATATAAAATTTTTGAAAAAAAAAATTAAAAGCCGGGTTGCCGGGTTATTGATGAAATTTTTATATTATGAAAACCATAAAATCAAGTTTGTATGGCCTTAGTTCCTGATTTTTTAATTTTAAAATAATGATAATGATTTGGACTATATTTAAAGATCTCCCTTTCTAGAACTTTCACAACTCGCTGGTTATAAATTATATACAGATGAAATACCCGCAGGTGGAATAATCACTGGAATTGGATGTGTTAAAGGGTTAGCCTTTATTCTATATAATGATTACTATTAAAAAAAAAATACACAGTTGATGAAAGTTGAATATTTATTTTGTAAGTTCTGATGCAGGGTGGAATGTATGATTGTTGCTAATGACTCAACAGTTAAAGGCGGAACATATTATCCCATTACAGGTATAACTTTTTAATCGGTTATAACTTACAAACTTTTGTATGTAGATATATTGACTTTTATTTTTTAATCCTTATAGTAAAAAAGCATTTACGAGCACAAGAGATTGCACGAGAAAATCGGTTACCGTGTATATATTTAGTAGATTCAGGAGGTGCTAATCTTCCTCAGCAGGCAGAGGTTTTTCCAGACCGCGATCATTTTGGACGCATTTTCTTTAATCAGGTAAGAGTTATAAATAAAATAATCAAAATTTATTACATATATTTAATTGATTGATGTTTAATTTAGGCTGCTATGTCATCCGAAGGTATATCACAAATAGCCGTTGTGATGGGATCATGTACAGCAGGTGGCGCTTACGTTCCTGCTATGGCGGATGAAAGTATTATTGTTGCAAAACAAGGTACCATTTTCTTAGCCGGGCCTCCATTAGTCAAAGCAGCCACTGGAGAAGTTATTTCGGCAGAGGAACTAGGAGGAGCGGATTTGCATTGTAAGTAAATAATCATTAAATTGAAAAAATTAAATATAGTGATAACTTTTAATATGTCAGGTCGAATATCTGGGGTAACGGATCATTACGCTAGTAACGATGAGCATGCCTTACAAACTGCAAGAAAAATTGTTGAAACGCTTAATTTGTCAAAGAAACCTGATGTAAATGTTCAAAATTATAAATGTATACGCATATATATATATTTCATAAAACATGGAGGTTAAAAAAAGCTTATCATTATTATTTTAAGTTATTAATTAAGAAGCCCGAAGAACCTCTATATTCTGCATCAGAGCTCGGTGGTATTGTGGGTGATAATCTGCGCAAATCTTTTGATGTCAAAAATGTCATTGCGCGTATCGTAGATGGAAGTCGATTTGAAGAATTTAAAGAATTATATGGAACAACATTAATTACTGGTAGATTTTTATTTAACTTTACAACTAAAATGTATTCATTTATTGATATATTATGAAATAATTTGACAGGTTTCGCGCATTTATACGGTTACCCTGTTGGAATTGTTGCTAACAATGGAATCCTTTTTTCCGAATCAGCTCTTAAAGGAGCACATTTTATTGAGCTTTGTGCGCAACGTGGTATACCACTAATCTTTCTTCAGAATATTACAGGATTTATGGTTGGTTCATCCGCAGAAGCCGGTGGTATTGCCAAGAATGGCGCGAAGATGGTGACTGCAGTATCTTGTGCCAAAGTTCCAAAACTGACGGTTATTATTGGTGGTAGTTTCGGTGCCGGAAATTATGGAATGTGTGGAAGAGCATATAGCCCCAGATTCTTATGGATGTGGCCGGTTAGTCCAACATAAAATAAGATTTCATTAGTCAAGAAACTTTATAATTAACTTTACTTGTTTAATATATAGAACGCGCGGATATCAGTCATGGGAGGTGAACAAGCCGCAAGTGTTTTGGCTCAAATTAGAAAAGAAGCAGAAGCCAAAAAAAAAAAAGGTGAAACGGTACGTGAATTTTCATTAGCAATGATAAAGATTGATATATGTAAATGTTAATTTAAATATTCATCGACAGTGGTCAATGGAAGAAGAAGAAAAATTCAAGAAGCCTATTCGTGAAAGATTTGAAGTTGAAGGTCATCCATATTTTTCCTCAGCGCGTCTTTGGGACGATGGAATTATTAATCCTGCTGACACACGTAAAGTTCTCGGATTAGCATTAAGTGCTACACTTAACGCACCAATCGAGAAGACACGTTTTGGTATATTTAGGATGTAGAACCTTTGATACGTTTATTGTAAATTCTATAACAAATAATTAATTTTAACTTTATTTTTGTCAATGAGATGATCAATTACTGTGTATAGCAGCTGTATAATTACGTATATGAATAGTGTATGTAAATCGGGCGTTTATTAATCACAAGACAATATGTATAACATTAAATTAAAATCTTCGCACACTTATACAATATGACAGACTTTCATGTATTATTTCGTCTCAAAGTACATATATTTTAGGGCTGATACGACCATTTAGCGTCATGACCAGTATCTTTAAATGAATAAATTAAAAAGTTTTTACATGTGAACGATGTTCATACGCCCGATATACGCCTATATAAAAATTTATTGGGTATATTTTTATTCATATATATAAAGGCCATTTAAAGTCGTATTGATAACTTTAAAGTTTATCAAAATAACAATAAACTGAAATATATATCAAAGAAAATATTACTTTTTTTCGTGTTCAAAGACTTTTCAACTTTTTTTCTGTATATAATAAATTTATCAAGAATGAGCGAGGGTTCATGTCAAATAATATTTTAATTTCTTTTCGTTTATATTTTTATGTTGCTTTATAGCTCATTATTATTTCAAATTTAGTCAAGAAAATCATTCGTTTCAAATCAGATGCAAAAGATGAGGACATCGAAAAAACTGAGAAAAAAATTACAGAACTTGGTACAAATATTTTGTAAAATCGTTTGTAATACTTTATTAAAGATCCATCTATTAATATGATCGATCTAATAATCTAAAATAGGAGGTAAGATCACAGGCAAAACTACAATAACAGGAAAAACTCTCATGGTTACCCTACCAGCTGGCACCATTAGTAAGCATATTAAATTATAAACTATTTTTTTCTTTTTAATTTAATATGCATAAAATATATTTAATATATTTTCACTATTGCAGCTACTTTTGATGCTGATAGTCACGTTGATGGGATTGAAGACGATGCAGTAGTTACAACTCAGTAGATTTTTAGTTTTGAGCATTTTTCTTTTTTTCAAATATATGTTATTTTAATTTATTAAAATAAACATTGAAAAAATTCAACGAAAGAAAGTTTATATTTTATATATTATAATTAATAAATTAATTAAATTTTTCATATTTCCTAAATATCTAATTAAACCCATGTACAAGTCTTCTAAAGTTTCCAAGATTTCTTTTTTGACGTTCCTATTTTCAAGAATAAAAAAGAATTACGGTTAAAAAAAAATTTATTTTTATCTAAATCAATTAATATGTTAATATAAGATCATTTTTTTTTTGCGTGATATCCTTTATCAACACTTTTATTTCAGTGGATTGACAGATTAATTTAGGTTTAATCATATCGAAGTGAAGATACAAAAAGAAACATTCGAATTTACCTATGTAATAAAAATTATTATAAAATAAAATTAATAAATATTTAACAACAAAAAAATTTGCAAATGTAAATGAAATTTATATATCAGAACTTCTTAGAGGTTAAATTTAATAGTCTTCATGTTAGTCTGAAACTTTTATATCATCACATATATACATTTAAAAAAAAAAAAAAAACTTTTCGCTTACCTTGAAGAAAAAAATTTTTTTTCAGTTTATCAGCTGATGATAACAGATTAAGTGTGAATTTATGGGTGATCATAGCCAGTGATGTAAAAAAGTGATAACGAAACACGAACTTTTTTACTGTAATTTGAATGTGTGACAAATTAAACTCGTTATTTTATCCGTTATTTCAATGATTTTCTCACACCTTCTTTCCTTCTTTTGATGATAATAAATTATCACATTTATCGGGATAAATTATACGTCTAAAATACTGAATTTATTTTTTTTTCTCTTGTTGAAATGACTAGTTCATTTAGTTCCGAGGAGGCTGTGGAAAAAGCTTCAACATCGACTCGTGACGCGTATCAATCGGAAAAAGACGCGACTTCTTCACCCCCTGCAGAGTTTTCCGATTCTATCGACAAATCGAGAGAATTGGGTGAAGGTACGAGTTCGAATTTAGCTGAAAAAAGCTCGATTAAGGAGATGGTGAATATATGAAGTGGATTCTTTGTTCTTTTAAAATTCAATTTGTATTTTATCGAATTTGGATGATGTTCATTGACTTTCATTTTTTTGTGCTCAGATAATTGATCAATCAATTATCAGTGAAGAAGAAAGACAAAGTAATATAGAATTTTTTGTTGGAAGAGGATTGAAAACGCCTGAACGTTACATGAAAATTAGGAATTATATTTTAAATGCTTGGTTAAAAAGTCAACCGAAATTCGTTTCTAAAACAAGCGTCAGACCAGGACTTAAGGTATTTTCATATATTATCCATACCTTATTCTTTTTTAAAAACTAATAATTAATGATGATTTGACCAGGATTGTGGTGATGTAAATGCGATTGGACGAGTTCATTTATATCTGGAGTCAATAGGAGCAATTAATATTGGCAAGGATTCCGTAAAAAAAGAGAAGCGTCCTGTAAAGAGAAAATCACTTGATGAGACTACAAAGAAATCAAATACTAATATAAAACGTAAAGGGAAGTTGGAAGATAGTGACTATCGTCGAGGACGGTAAGAACAATGAATCATATTTTGACAAATTGCTTAATTTGATAGGAACGTTTTGAACTTTAATCCTTTTCGATCATAAAGTGGGATCAAAGTTCTTAACGATAATGGCGAATGGTAAGAGCAAATAATTCTTTTTAAGGCTAATTATGTAAATTTCATACATTTTTTTACCTTAAAAAACATGTATACATTTTTTTTTTTACGTTCAAGGGAAAATCTAAATGGATCTAAAGAAAATAGTGTGGAGCCGACGGGAGGTATAAATATTATCGAATTGTTCTTTTTTTTTTTTTGAAAAAATAATAGCATATTCGATCAATGATAAATGAAGTGTTATCGTACTTGGATAATAATTAAGATGACGTTCCCATACGCCGAAGCAAAAGGTCCCGTACCAATAAAAATGGGGGACGAATCAATTATAACGAAATATCCTTCTATTAAAAGAAATTTATAAATCAACTTGTAATTACATTGTAATACCTTAACAAATAACGTTACGATGCTCTAGCATATGATATGGTAGGTTCTTATGATCCTTTTCGGTTGGTTCCACCACATCATTATACATCGAGAAATCCTGCGCCGTTTCGAGTATCAGTTTCGATGAACGTTATGGTATGAGTAATATGCATTTGGAAAAAAAATCTTTTCGAATAATCCTTAATTGATGTGATTGTAAATTATAGCTCTTGATGGATTTCCACGCTCATTTGGCGCATACGGAAATAATTGGTTTACTTGGTGGTCATTATTTTTCTGATCGTGAAATCATGGAAGTAATATACGTATATCCTTGTAAAAGTTCAAGTACTGGATTTCAGGTATTTTATTTTAATACTATTTAATATTAAAATATTTTTTTTTTTGTAGTGATAGATATTACGTTATTATAGTGTGAAATGGATCCTGCGTCTGAAGTTGCAGCTAGGGAAGTTTTCGCTGAGAAAGGTCTTGAATTTGTTGGATGGTATCATTCTCACCCAACATTTGATCCTCAACCTTCTATTAGAGATATTGAAAACCAGACTCAATATCAGGTAAAAAATTATAAAATGAATAAGGGGGTATATTCATCGTTAATATGTTCCTTTCTTATTAATAGGAAATGTGGCGACGCGAAGACGGTGTGGAACCATTTATCGGTGTTATTGTTACACCGTATGATATTGAACATGATTCTAATGTATCAAGATTTCAATTTTGGATGAGTGGTACAAATTACGATCTTTCTGGACAATTCAGTCTGTATTAATTTCTATTTAATTTAGTTCTTTATTCGGGTTTATTGTTTGCGATTAGTAATTCTTTATTGCGCTTTACCTTTTCAGGAACGCCTTATTCATGCCAGCATTCATTTTTACAAAATGAAAACTTGCAAGAAGAAACATTTTCACAAATGGCGAGTTTAGTCGAAGAATATCATAATTACGATCAGTAAGTATGATATATAAAATTTTGCCAATGGTTACAATAATACACAATGAATTAATGGAACAATCATTGTTCATCATATGCAGGCGCGTTAATATGAGTGAAACTTATCGGAAAGATGAAGAAGTTTCAAGGCTTGATAAATTGATCGAGTCATTGTCATCACATATAAATGTTTCCTCAAAGGCAGCTGAAACCTTTATTTCTCAAGTAAGGGAATTAATGAGTGATGACTTCCGTCCCAATAAGAATGAAGAAGCAAGCAAACTCGGAAGTGATGCAACAAAAGAATCAATATTAAGTTAAAAGCTTTAGGGTTTAGAAATAATTAAAGTTATTATTACTATTATACGTTATTTCTTATTCTTATTTGATCAATTGTGTTTTTTTTTGACATTGGTCAGATCGTTGGGGTTTGTGTTGCAAATTAGTTTTTGAATGCATCGGATTTTTTCATTGTACCAAAACTTGATTTTTTTCTTTTCACAAATTTAAGATTTACATCTCACATGACACATAAAGTAGAAATTCAGCCAACTGTCCCCAACTTGTATACAAATATTGTAATTGGCGGGTATTCTAACCGATTTTGTATTTTTGTTTATTGACAGTATTATATTTATCAGATTTTTTCAAAAAAAAAAAAAAAAAAAAAACTGGTGATAACTGGATAACTTGGATAACTGATGAGTGATGAAAAAGTCGTTATAATCCCCGTACGGGTTAAGTGTAATTTGCACAACCTTTAGTTTTAGTAGTATCTACTGCAAGAGAGAAAAAAATGAGGCTATAGAGGAAAGAAAGAGAAAGAAAATTATTTACATATTAAATAACCGTTTTAAGTTACCAAAATTTTTCTGCCGCACATTATAAATACTTATTGTAAAACTCTAATATTGTGAATCCTTCACCCTTTCTTCCCCTTTTTCTTTCTTTTTCTTATTCTTTTTCTTTCAGTCCTCTTTTTTTTTTCTTTTCCCCTTTTTTGTTAAGAAGTTTATATTATATTGTTCTTTAAAAAAATTTTTCTTTATTTTAAACCTTTTTTTTATTGGTTTAGTATTCATTTTTTTTTTTTTTTTAAAAAAAAACAAAAATAAAAATAATATATATATTAACTTGTGACGTTTTACGTTGTCTCTTTTTTTTAAAAAAATATTTTACTACGGTACATCTCATATATATTTCAAGTATACTTTGATCTTACTATTTTTTTTCTAATGACCTTATAATAATACGTTATGTTAAAAACGTGAAATTTTTCTTTTAGACACTGTCTGCTTATAATATAGTATGCCAGCACTTGATAGTTCACTCACAATGAACGGGCAAGAAAGTTTACAACAAATGAACGAAACAAATTTTATTCCTTTAATACTTCAAGCACAAGATCTTGTAGCTAAATTGGAAAATAGGGTTGTTGAATTGGAAAATGATTTGGAGGTGTGTATTGTAAATCTCGGATGTTATTATATATAAAGTTTGTGTAAATCTCGGGGAATATGCGTTTTTTTATTTGAAACAATCTTTTTAGCATAGAGTATCAGTTGAATCAATATATCAATCTATGCTGCAACGATGGTTGTAGAAGTTCAACAAACTTCGCCAGCGGATGATAATATGATCGGGCATGATAATTTGATAAATTAAAATTTGATAATAAAATCTTTAGTTAACATTATTTTTATTTTTGAACCAGGTTATAAACGAATCTCATGAACAAGAACGTGACCAATTGCTTCAAGAACTTGGTGAGAAAGATGAGTATGTTCATAATTTGAAAACAAAGATTAGCAGACTCGAATTTGGAGCTCGAGAGGCAATAATTGTATTGGCAAGAACTGTAGAAACATTTAGAGCTCAAAATCTTGATGACGATGATGATAATAGCAAAGATGATGATGATAATGCTACTGCGGTTGAATCGAACGATTTAGAAGGACAATTTTTAGATAGTATTAAATTATGCCTAAACTATTTAAAAAACGCTCAAAATAATAATAAAGTTACTTCTAAAGAATATAAAAAACAGCACTCATTCGTCTCAATGAGGCGTGATTCAAAAATTCAACCATTTAACGACGATTACGAATCTGATAGAATAAATGATGAACAAAATCCTGCAAACGATAATGATAATGATAATAATGATAATAATAATAATAATTCTCAACAGAAACCAGACGATGATAATAATATCTCAAGAAGAGAGTCTGTCTGCAGCGAATTTTCTGTCAGTCTTGATGATGTTGATTTAGATGGAGATGAAGACATTGCAGATTATCCTGATCCTCATGACCCTGAAGAAATTGATGATACTTACCAAACTTCAATTAATTATGATAATATTGATGATGAAGAAGAATTGGAACATCGTCGACGCGCAGACTTTGCAATGTCTAACAATAAAACGTTAATTAATAATTATGTACATGATGAACCAGAAGACATTGACGATCGAACAGAACGTGAAGAAGAAGAAACAGATCAGGAAGAAGAGGAATCAGATGATGAGCTTGACACGCATATTCATGATCATCTTCCTCCACAGGGACCTGTTCCTGATTTATCTCAAACAGCAAATCTTTGTCCAAATTGTAATACATTACTTGCGCAAGTTGATCAACATATTGAAGAACGTGCTTATCTTAAACGAGATCTTTCAGCTCTTGCTATATCTCTTTCGGAGGAACAAACTCTTCGTGCTCAACTTCAAGTTAGTAAGGAGAGTTTAGAACAAGAAATCGATGATTGGATAAATGCAATGTTTGATAAAGTAAATCAAATGGTATTTGATGAAGCTAATACCCATGAAGAACTAGAAATGTTAAATAGAGAATTTAAAGGTAAATTAGAAGCCTCTATCAAATCTTCGGGAACTAGACAAGACCGCTTAAGAGAGTTGAAATTATTATTGGTTCATCTGGATACAACAAAACAACGACAAACAGCGCCAACTCCAACTAGTGGATTAAACAGAAATTCTGTCATAAGGAGGAGCTTAATGTCAAATTCCCCTGTAAACAGTCCTCGTTCTAGCAGAATATTTGGAAACTTTGGACATATGTCGCCTAGTATTTTCTCTACTGCTTCTGTTGATGAATACATGCAAAAGGGTAGACGCGTATATATTGATGGAGTTGTGTTTGAAGAATTCCAAGAATATGTTAAATCATTTGTAACTTCTCCTGTTCCTACAAATTCTACGCCTACTCATGCATTTATGAAACGTTGTATGGTTGAAGATATTCAACCTTGTCTTTTTGAAGGAAGCAGTGGCTGGAAATCACCTTTCTACAAGAGACGCTTATTAGATGCCATTATGAAGAATCAATGCGAAATTCAAACTATATATTTCAATTCTTCGAATTCTACACCAATGTCCAGTCAAATTAGCAATACGTCAATTACACGGCAAAATAGTTATCAAGAACCTCCGCCATCCCCAAAAGTTAAATGTGGCCTTTGTGGTCATTTAAGAAGTTGTGATTTCCGTATGAGACTTTCTGGACCTGATGCAGTTGTACCACCATCAGCTACAACAATGTCATCTTCACGAACATCAAGATTCTCTGTAACTGGAACCCCTGGATGGATTCCTCTTGATCGATTCTGTAGAGATCGCGTTGTTGCTGTTTGCGATTTCTATACTTATCTTTCACATTTACGTCAGGGACTACTTGCTAATTCAGCTGTTTGGACTATGTATAAACAATGTCTTAAACATCGTAGAAAGATGGGAATGGCACGTGTTGGTAGTTTGAGTATGTTCGAAGAAGAGGAAGCTCTTAACAACGAACTATTAAACAATCCTGAAATGGAAGGCATGGTCGTTATTGTTCATTAAAAAGAAAAAATATAATTTGCTGGACAATAGATCGACGGGGAGCCTAATTCTTAATGATAGAGATATAATTATTTATTCTCCGTTATTTGTATAAAAATTTTTTACGCGTGTAACAACTTCTGGAAGTATCTCGGCTTTATATTTTGTCCAAGATTCAAGAATTCGGGACAGAACAATAGGTTGAGACGATCTAGATTCTTGCACTTTGGATAATCTATAAAAAAATTAGTGGGTGTCTTCTATATAAGTTGGGTTTATAAATCAGATTCAAAAAATTTTTTAAAAAAAATATATATATATATATATTACCAAATACATATATAAACTTTTCTTGTTTAAATTCTGACAAGAAGACAAAAAAAAATAGATGATTTTTATAATATATTAAAATATACATATATGTAACAATATATTTATTATTTCTTTTTTCTTTTATAAAATAAAAAAAAAGCTAATTCAAAAGCTAACATATATATTATATATATTACTTTTCTGTTTTCCTTTATTTTCATCTATTTTTGTATTTTAAGTGATAACATTATTTTCATTATTCTAAAGATCCTTATTTAATATCCTTATTTAAAAATTCTTGTTTTTTTATTTTTTTGCGTTGATTTCAAATTCAAATTATTGTCTTTTTTTTTTGAGTCTATTATTGCGATTATTGTTTTTTCCAGAAATAAAAAAAAGCTTTTTTGAAATTACATGTCATGTGTTAGTACAGCCAACCAGATTGACCTAATAGTGTAATCTCTGTGTGAAAAAAACGGAAATTTCTGGCACGTTCTTTCAACACGTAACTGCGGAAGATCTATTTATATATAACGGGTATCGGCGTGTTATTTTTTTCAATTTACGAATCCTTACCAACTTTCGTTTCAAACCTTTTTATGCTTAAATAAAAAAAAATTTGTAATAATGAGTGTAAGTATGGAATGAAAAGTAACCAAAGTAACCAATTAGAAATAATAGTAACATATAATTTTTTTTATAGGCTGAAGAATTGAAAGCTAAAGGAAATGAAGCCTTCTCCGCTAAAAATTATGAAAAAGCAATAGAATTATTTACTAAAGCTATAGAAATAGACCCTACAAACCATGTGCTTTATTCAAATATGTCTGCCTGCTATGCGTCGTTAAAGCAATACGATAAAGCTTTAGAAAGCGCAAATAAAACTATTGAATTGAAAAAAGATTGGGCAAAGGTATATACTTCAATAGAAACGCGCCATTCTTCGCTTGATAATAATGAGGTTGTTCAAGTTAGTAAAAAGGTAATATAATTTTATTTTACTTGGAATAGGGCTATAGTAGAAAAGGAGCAGCTCTTCACGGTCTTGGAAAATTAGAAGAAGCTCGTGATACTTACCAAGAAGGCCTTAAACACGACCCAAATAATGCCCAGCTAAAAAAATCATTCGATGAAGTTGAGTCAGCCTTAGATAATGGTAATAAGAATAAATTCGAAATTTTGTCGTAAACTATTTAGATGGCTAATTTCCAATAATAATGCCGAATTCTATTCAATGATTATTAATGATTCTCGTAGATTTTATTGGTTTCTAACTCACAATTTAAATTAATAGGTCCATTTGGTAAAATATTCCCCGATGATATATTGGTTAAAATCGCGTTAAATCCACAATTGAGACCGTACCTAGATCAACCTGATTTCGTTGAAAAAGTTAAAGCTATACAAGCTGATCCCAAACAATTTAACGCGTAAGTGTATATAATATTAATGAGTATATTTGTATGAATATATTTAACTTTTATAAATAGCCATTTACAGGATGACCGTATAAAGAATGTATTTATGTATATACTGACTGGTTCAGTGAATCCTCAAAGTGGTCCACAAGAACCACCACAGCCACAGCAACCACAGCAACCACCGCAACCTGAAGAGGTATGTTATAATAAAACGGTTTAAACCTTCAAGGACAAATAAATTGTAACTTATTTTTGTTAGCATAAGCCACCTGAACCACAGGAATATGACATTCCTGAACCAACGGAAAAAACCGAAGAAGAACTTAATAAAGAGAAATCCGTCAAGGAAAAAGAACTTGGTAACACAGCATACAAGAAGCGAGAATTTGAGGAAGCATTAAAACATTATGATAAAGCTTGGGAATTAGATCCTACTAATGCATCAATTTTAACAAATAAGGCTGGTGAGTACAGTAATCGGTAACGTATATTTAATAAAATAGCTTTTAATTATGAATTTTTTTATTGTAAGCCGTATTATTTGAACAAGAAAAGTACGATGAGTGCATCGAAACTTGTGAGAATGCTATCGAAGTTGGTCGTGAACATCGTGTAGATTTCAAATTGATTGCTCGGTAAGAATCAAAAAAATTTTATTTTTTTCCCTAATCGATTTAAATCTAACTTCTTTCCTTTAAATTCATAGTGCATATGGAAGAATTGGAAATGCATATTATAAATTAGATAAATTGGATGAAGCAATTAAATATTATCAAAAATCATTAACAGAACATCGTACACCAGATACATTAAAAAAATTAAACGATACAGAAAAATTAAAAGTCAAGAAGGAGAAAGAAGCTTATTATAATCCTGAATTATCTGATAAAGCACGTGAAGAAGGAAATGAGTTATTTAAGAAAAATGATTTTGCTAACGCCGTAGCAAAATACACTGAAGCTATCAAACGTAATGAAAAGGATCCAAGAGCTTATAGTAATCGGGCTGCTTGTTATACTAAATTAATGGCTTATCCCGAAGCATTAAAAGATTGTGAAACTTGTATTAGTCTTGATCCTACTTTCGGTATGCTAATTATTAATTATTTCAATATTATAAATTATTGATCATCGCATTAACTATTAACTTTTCTTTACAGTTAAGGCATATATTCGTAAAGCTGCTGTTGAATTCTCGAAAAAGGAATATTCAAAATGTATGGAGACTTGTGATGCAGCTTTAAAACATGATACAACCGGCCAACATGCCGCGGAAATTGCTAAACAAACACAAAAATGTCGCGAAGCGATGTGGCAAAGTAATGCCAGTGGTTCACAAGAAAGTACCGAAGAAACTTTAAGAAAAGCCGCAAGTGATCCTGAAATTGCGGTAAATAAATATAATAAATATTTATAATATTTATTGTAATTGGGTGAATTTTAATTTTAATTCTCGATTTTTACTTAATATAGAGAATTCTTCAAGACCCTGTTATGCAACAAATTCTTCAACAAAGTCAGGAAGATCCTCGTGCTTTTAAGGAGTATGTACAAGAAAGACTTGATTTCAATTAAATTTGCGATTTATTAATAATATTTTTTACATTTTAATTTTAGACATTTGAAAAATCCTACCGTAGCAGCGAATATTCATAAATTAATCAATGCAGGAGTTTTGAGAACTGCCTAAAAATTTATTTTAATTCTTAAACTAAAAAAAAAATGATGGCTGTTTGTTTTATATAATGTATTTATGTATTATTTGCATTTAATAAAATGTTAACAAATTTACAAGTAAATCTTTTGCATATTTAAATAAAATTAATTCATTTAAAAAGTATTGTTTTAATCAAAAGTTTTTTTTTTCATATAATTAAATGCCAAATGCTGAAGAATTAACAAAACAAAATCCACAATGATAATGGTGTGAAATTAAATCAATTACCTAAAATTTTTTAGTTCGGTTGTTTTTGTTATTCGATTGTAATTAAAAAAAATTAATACACTTAGAACAACACAGAATAAAAAATACAAATTGTTACAGTCTTTTGTCACAGTTAATAAATCGAGTCAAAATTACAAGTCAATCCAACCTAAATTGCAAATTATAATTTAAATTTTGGGAAAAAATAAATATCCATCTTTGAATGAAACAAATATATTATTTTTTGGATGTTTTCCACCTTTCGAAAACACAATAATTTCTATCAAAAATAATTCTATCCATTAGCTACCAATAATATTCTTGTATTTTTGTTCTTAATTTTTTTCTTTTTTAAATAAAAATAAAGGCAAATAATAAATATACTTCGAATAATGTCAAGTAGCATTAATTAATCAATGCCTTTTCTTTTTACAACTAATATATTCAATCCCTTTCCTATGTCCATTAAGCCATTTGATACGGCAAAGTATTTATTTCTCTTTGGTTATTATATTTTGGATCATGATTATTGTTATGGTGATGGTGTGCATCACTTGTCATCGTTGAATTACCAGGGACAGTCGGACTTATGGGATTTGGTGACGCTCCTTGTGATAAGGAGGTAGGTCCCATCTGTGAAGAGGAACTGTTGTGATGATGATTATGACCAAAATTATGATTTTTTTGAAAATATGACGGTAATTGATGAGAAGTAGTAGGCGAAGAGGATATACCATATCCTGATTGTGAAGAATTGTTTGGTGGATATGATGGTGAAGTAGATGGTGATATTCGATTATTAGGATAATGACGATGTGATTGATGTGAATGAAGATTGTATTGATCATAATTTGTTGGAGGAGCTAAATTATGATGATAATTTCCCGATAATGCTATCGAAGATGGTTGCTTTGGCTGTGGATGAGTCGCAGGTAATGGAAGTTGGTGTTGATTCTGTGATGGCTGTTTCTGCATCATATATGGTGAAGTGCTAGGTGTAGTAAAATGACTTGGTGAATTACGAAACGATAATGGAGACTGATTATTATTATATGAAGGCGACGAGCGGAAGTTAGAAGGGCGAGGCTGTGCATGGGTCATTATGGGTGAGACTACGTTCACAGAAACTGCAGGTAATGGTGACGGGTGGCGTAATCCGGACTGCTGGTAATGATGATGTTGAGGTAATACTGATGGTTTCGATGATGATGAGGGTGACGATGATTTCCATGATTTATTATTGCTGCTATTTTGAGCACTGTTTTTTGACTGTTCAATTTGTATCTGTTGGAGTTGTTGCAGAGATTTTTGATGATATTGCTGTGTTAAATGTAGCGGGGGTCCAGTTGAACCAAGGATGCTGTCGTCCAATCCACCGCTTGTAGTTCCCAAACCTGCTATTACTCCGTTTGGCATACTACCAGGCATAGTTACTTCATTAGTCTTACGTACCCTCTTCTCGTTATTTATATTTTTTATATTTGCAGTGGTATTATTATCATTTGAGCTGTCAACCCCTCCTAAATCATTTGATGTTGTTATATGCTTTCGCTCGTCCTTTGGTGACCGTTCATCTTTTTGATTTCGCCTTTCTTGTTCTTGCCAACCACCAGATGATGTATTATTATTAGGACCATTTGTCGAATCGGATGTACGTTTAACATCACTATCCACTACAACAGAAAATTGCTGTATTTCATGTTGTTGATCTTGTTCTTGCAATAATTGCAAATGAGGATAATGCTGTGGTAATCGCCTTGGATCTTTTTTAGGATGTTCCCCTGGTGATGCACCAACACTACCCGGAGTAACAAGTGCTGCGGCTCTCTGTATCTGTGGTGGAACTTGAATGTTTCCAATCGTGCTAGCTCTAGGTCTTAATGAACTTATGCTAGATTTTGGAACTAATGAAGACATTTTAGTCGAAGTTTGTTGCTGCTGTTGTTGCTGCGACGGTTGTCTTGAAGATGAAATTTGACTGCTAGAAGCAGCGGCATGAGAAATCGTCACTGTAGGCATATCATGAGCAAAAGAAGGGTTCTTTTGTTGTATTTTTGGTGAATTATTTGATGCTTTATATTTTGTAGGTGAGGGTATTTGCATCAAACTTGGATTCTGGGGGACCGATGAATTTGAAGATATAGGCTGTGCTGTTGATGACCCTATCTTATTAGGCGTTTTCATTAGCATAGGCGGTGTAAATTTACCAGTGAACTTTTCACCTGTTATGAATGGATGCAATTTTGCTTGCTGTGGAGACCAGCGCTCTAAAGGGTTAAGATTCAATAGTCCTTGTACAAAATCGATAAAAGCCAGTCGATTTTGCATTTCTATTTCAAAAGCAAAATGTATTTATTTTATTTACTTATTTATTTTTTTTTCTTTTTTTTTTTATAAAAAAAAAAAAAAAACAAAAAT